TTGAGAAACATTAGTATCACGCCGCAACCTATGCTCCATAACTCGCTCTCATAATTTTAAAGTATAATAAAAAATAAAAAATACAAGTAGCAGAAATAGGGAGGGGAGAGCCACTATGGTGAAGTTATGTATTTTTGAATTATTAAAAAAAAGAAAAATCAATATTTGCATTATGCAAATCTAAGTACAATGCACACCAACTAAGTACTGAACTCCTAAAACTAAAGAAAACACCAAACACAAAGAAAAATCGCAAAAAACTCTAAGCAAACATAAACCTAGCTTTGGCTTTTCAAGCTCTTGCTCTTGGAAAACTCCAACTCCTAGCAAACTCCAGCTTTTGCAACTGCTAACCACGAACACCTGCAAACAAGTAAACAAAAGTTAGCATAGTGTGATAAACAAAGCTAGTACGGTAAGCATAACACAAGTACGGTAGATAAAAACAAGCAATGAAAATAAAACGTTGAAAGTAAAAACTGTTGTAAGTAAAACTACCACTGTAGACAAAACTAGTGCTGAAACAAAACAAGTAATCAAAACTACAACTATGAGTCAGAAGCTATTACTGTAAACAAAACACTAGTACTTGTGTCGAGGTAGTGAAAAACACAAAACTAAATATCTACTGCTAAAGCCCTGCTAAACTAATTCCCTGCTAACCTAAGTTCACCCAGCAACTTCTAATAGCGGTCGTAAGGTCTACTTTAGTTAATGCGTTAGGGAAATCCCTAGGTAAAAGTTACATAACCCTAAATCCCACTTACGGGCCACTTCTAAGTGAAGCAGTAAGACCTGCATGCTAGGAAAACTTCTAAGTGAACAACACTAAACCCAAACCTACAGGCTACTTCCGAGAGAAGCTGTAAGACCTGCTGTACTGGTTACTTCCAATGGACAATGCAACACCCAACTTTTCAAACGTACATAATACTTTCAAGGGAAGCCGTAGGACCTGTTGTACGGGCTACTTTTACTGAAACTCGCCCTGACTCAAAGCCAAATCAATAAGACCTATATTCAATCACATCGGTTTACTCGGGATCCCTGAGAGGAGGCAACGCATAACTACTAATATGATTTCCTGTGCTCTACGATCAATGATTGTTAATGTTCATAGACTAAAAACTATGATATTCCTGGAATGACAGAACCATGAGATCTTGATCGATTCTACCTTTATCCCCCACAAATAAGATTATAACACTTGCATTGCTTGCACATCTAAATGTTAAATCATCTTTAATCGAGAGTTCTCTTTTACATGATATAAGGGATAATTAACTATAAGGGCTTGTGCTCTTAGGAAGTAAAGACCTAAATCTAAATAAACCCGATACCACTGTAAGGTGAAATCTGGTTAAGTACAATATGTCTTAAGGAAAATGAAATCTTATGGTTGCAAAGCAGGCTTCATGCTTATGTATCGTTTTTCTTGAGTGAACAACATGTTTGTGTTTCCAATCCATGTTGGTTATAATGATGATTTCCTTCCTTCAAACTTGTAAAATGATTTGCATTTGGGTTTGGCTGCTAAATACTCGACATATTTGTGGCTCTACGTACATGACCTCCATTGCTGATCTTCCTCTTCTGATGGCGTTCTGCTTGCCCCTCTCGCCTCTATACTATTGGAGACTTGACAAGAGTGTAATACTGGACAACAAACTAACAATTGGATTCTTCTCCTGGATTTTTGAAAATAGCAATTCAAACTTTTTCTTTTCTAAATGCAAGCACCCTCGCTATTTTTACACGTGACATTAAATAATTTCTATCATGATTTTATTTTTTGGCAAAAAAAAAAAAAAAAAAAAAAAAAAAAAAAAAAAAAAACAGTGCAGTAGCACACAAAATAACAGAGCATTAACACTTGGAAAGGTGAGAAGTTTTTATAATATCGTCACAGTTAGTATGCTAACCATCACTATAGCTACAATATTGTTACATGCGACTTTTTGTGGTGATCATGTCGGCACTGAGAAGAATTTTTTATATTCAATCATTTGATTTCTAGTTCATAATGGAGACAACCAAAGTATTATTTAGTTTCCCCCCTATGAATGATATATTCTTTATGATCCTTAGTCAACCTCATAGAATTATAAAAGTTCACAATAAGAGGTTAGAAATGTTGCAATCTAGGATTCATAGCTTGTGATTTTGATTAAACAAATATTACTGATTGAATTTTTATTTCTCTTAGCATATGTATTGCATGTTATTTTTTTGTGTACTAACATTTCGGTGTATGCTAAATTGACGACCGTGCACACATAAAGAGGGGAGTGAGAAAAGTGAGTTGAAATTATTTTTGAACTAATCGTACCATATGATTTAGATTGTACTATACGATCAAGTATATGAAAAATCAGCTTTAAGGACTAAATTTATAATTGTATTGTACGTTGTTGATCATATTGTACGATTCGTTTCCATCAGGAAACCCAAGCCGCCAGATCATTTAAGTATTTTGAAAATCAATTTTTGAACTAATTATACTATATGATATTTGAAATCTTACTTAAATTAATCTCCATGATTAGTCAATCAAATCAATGTTTAATTAATATGACCAATCGTACTGGACGATATAGATCGTACTGTATGACTGATAGAGATAAAATTCAATCGTCTCGAATATCGTATCGGAAGAAATCTTAATTTTTTGAACTAATCGTATAATACAATGTTAATCGTATTAGAGGAACCCTTGACATTTGAACTAAACATACAATACCATGTAAATTGTATTGTATTGGACGATTGACAGAGATGATTTCCAGTCATCTCGGTGATCGTCCTGTACGAATAGAATGAAATTGAACTAATCGTACCCTACGAACATCCAATCGTACTGTACGGTAAATCTGTTATTATCTATGTATTTGTTTTCTTTTTATTTATGATGAGAGCATCTGTGAATTTACCTTTTTGAATAATCAAGCTTATTCCAATAATGTTTTAAAATAACCTTCTTTTTGGAGAATCATTTGTTGTGTTGTTGGTTGCAGGAGGAAGGAGAGAGTTGCTATGCTCTATCTTGGTTGTTAGTTCTCTTTATAATTTTTTTTCCCAATATTAGAATTGTGGTTTTCTTGACCGTTGGCTTCATTGTAACATTTGCCACCATCTTCTGTCCAGGAGCATCCTTCATATGCTTTTTTTCACCGCCCTTGTTAGTCAAAGATTGAATTTTAGTGTTGTTGAAAGATCTGTTGTTTTAGAGAAGAGACTCTATGTTGAAGGACCAATCAGCCTCATGAAGAGTAGAACCTTAATATCTTTGATACTATGTTGAAAATTAAAGAAGAGATACATGTAGAAAATGAGAGCTTTTAATGGTTAAATTCTTTTATTTTCTATTAAAAACAAGATGCAAAGCTGTACATAAATAGGTAGATAAACAATTAGCAAGAAAAGAAACAAATATGAAAAATAATATGTTGACCTCAAAACTTGCTCCACAATTAAATTGTGGATTGAGCACGGTCAAAACGACAACTCATCATGTGAATTGAATTCATGGCATATGACCACAATGAAAATCACTCAATTGTCACCTGTTTGTGAAACACACTATGTAGATGTGCTTGGATCGTTGAAATTACTAAGGAAGGGCTTTTGTGATCGAGTTGATCGAACTCGACCAAAATGTTGGCCAACATATGTTACATCGTACAAGCTTGGTTTGAAATGCCTTGACCCAATTGGAAGTACTAAATTATCGCTTATTTTGTAAAACAAATGCGAAGTTGTACATAAATAGGTAGATAAACAATTAGCAATAAAAGAAACAAATATGAAAATCAATATGTTGACCTCAAAACTTGCTCCACAATTCAATTGTGGATCGAGCACTGGCATAATGACGGCGCATCATGTGAATTGGATTCAGGGCGTATCAATATCAATAAAAATCACTCAATTGTCACTCGTTTATGAAACACACTATGTAGATGTGCTCGAATATTTGAAATTACTAAGGAAGGGCTTATGTGGTCAATTTGGTTGAACCTGACCAAAATGGTGGCCAACATACGTTACATCGTACAAGCTTGGTTTGAAATTCACCACAATTGAAAGTACTCAATTGTCGCTCATTTCATAGAATGGAATGGGCGAATGCATCTAAAATGTCAAACTGACTCGAAATAGACACCCATTGCCCATATCACTGCATGAGAAAAAGATGGAATTTATCGATATGCATGAAGACATCACATGACGTGCGTAAGCAACGACAAAATTGCTTATTAATATTTACAAATAAATAATTTTAAAATAGATAGTTCATAATATGAATTTCATTATTAAAAAAATTATCATCATCAAAATTAGGTCGAGAGAGTCGACTTAGATTGTTTGGCCACATACAATGGCATCCTTCCGATGACCTGGTTAGGAGAATAGATGTATTAGATTTGACTTATGTCAAGAAAGTTAGAGGTAGAGCTAAAAAACTTGGTTAGAAGATATTAGAAATGATATTTCTTTATTAGATTTAAATGAGAATTTGACTCTGAACATATTACAATTGAGAAAAAGGATTCATTTAGCCTACCCCACTTAGTGGGATAAAGGCTTGATGTTGTTGTTGTATCAAAATTATGCTAAGCTGTACTCTATTAAAAAAAATTGACACTTTCTCACCATTTCAAGCTTAAATCTTTTATTTTATCGGAATATAGGATTTACACCTGAGAAACTTAAGACAATCCATTACAATTTTCATATTCAAAATTGTGAGCAATTTTAATTCTATGAAATGTACTTTATCATTATTATTTCAAACTATATTAAAAGATCAATTGGCCTAATCTGGATCTCATGCGTGTGTGAATAGAGAGAATGCTTTGATTTTTGTCAAATTTGATTTAAACTCTTGTTTAGTTGCCCTTTGTCTTGCCAATGATTCATGTTTTATTGGCTTTATCTGATTTTTTATGACTGTTTACCATGTGAATGCTTCTTTCTTAGAGTTCACCTTTTGATTGCAGGACATTCATAGTCTGCATGATAGTGTAGTACCACAGCAACCTGGTATTCAAATTCGAAAAGAAGAAGCTGAAGAACCCTTCTCATTTTGGAACATGGGGAGATTTAAAAGAGCGAACTTTGTTTCCTCAGTTTCTCCATCATTTGATTTATCTTGGAACTTTGATAGGAAGAGAAAACCAATTGCAGAACTTATTAGCTCTTCCAAGTGCCGGAGAATGTGAAAGAAGAGTACCATCTGTATTTAGAAAATGTTCGGAGCTTTTGTGGAAGCGGAGGCATTGAAGGGGACAAGAAATCTAGCTTGAGAGGAATCTGTTGTGCAAAAGGTAGGATATATGTTTATATTTATGCTACTTTGATGAATATGACTGAATATCTTTCCCAGCAGGTCATTAACAACTTCTGTTCAACCTGCTTATATAATATCTATCTGTAAAAAATCAGTTTGATCTTGAGAAATATAATGTGGTGCTTGCTAGCTCCCTTGAGCTTTGAACTGAAGATGGGAAATGTAGTGGTACTGCTGTAATGTCTATAGCAGGACAGCTTTATGCTTTATGTTTCAAGGAAAAAAAAAAGGTGGTGCTTTGATTAGCAGAGTACTGGAAGATAAGTTGATGAAATGTAATATTTTACGCTTTTGGAGAAATTATTATGTGCAGAGACCGAATGCAGAACGTCTTCCAGAGACCAACCAAAATATATAACGTCAGCGGCACCGAGCCACAGTACCGAGCGGTATCGAGCTGCAATACCGAACACAAGGGTTGACTTGGTATATTCTGGTTGGTCTCTGGACGGCTTTTGGCGTCCGCACAGAATAATTAATCGTGCTTTGGGGAATTGTTTGCTGGTGGGATGTTGTGTGATGAAGGACTTCTTTTTGTTCCTAATATGACAGTTGTTGGATCTCAACTGCTTAGATATATATAGTAAGGTTGATATTGAGTCGAGTTTGTGAGACAGTGGGTGAGTTTTTAAACTCAAAATCTCCAATCAATTTATAGTTCAAGTGGAAGTGCTCTACTTCCCAGCTGATTTGAGTCAACCAAATGAAGTTATGTAAGATCTGTAGATGTGTGAGGATGTATGTAAAATGCTTGTATGTTTGTGTATATCATGCATTGATTGAGTAAGATTGTTAGTAAATTTTGAGTGATTCGAGTCTTGGGGAATTTTTGTGAAATAATTGTATTTGTCTGTAAAATTGAATGTGAAATAATTACATAAAAATAGAGTTTTTGAATGTTTGTCTTATGTATTCTAATTTTTTTCCTCCATGAATAGTATGATAATTTTTAATGAGTATTTTGTTGTAATAAATCTTGTTGTGAAAAGCTTCGGTAGTATTTGGCTTTGCTTGGGACAATTTTTTTATTGCTTTTTAAAACAGTTTTTTAATACAAAAAATACACAAACAGTAAAAAAGCCCTCTCAAACGAAACCTTAGTCTTGTTTTTTTAATTGTGAGAAGCTCCAACAGAATTAATTGTAGGCAAAACATTATCTTGTTGTGAAAGTATATACGAAAGATTTAAAAATATATATATAAAGATTTAGGTTTCGTTTGAGGTAATTTTTTATTAATTTTTAAAATAATGTTTTAGTATAAATATTTTTTTGAACTAAAATTTTTTTAATGAAAAGTTGTTAAAAGTAATAAAAAATTTATCCCAAAGAAAACCTTAGTTAATGTAAAGCACTTGAATTTTCTAAGTAATTTCTTCGCAACTCATAACCCCCAACACAAATGAGTAAATTTTGAAAAAAATAAAAAAATAAAAAAATAATAAAAAATGAGTAAATTTTAACATATTTTTTACCTTCTTTTGCAAAAGTTAAATCAATTTCGATATATTTTAGTCTAATTTCAATTTATTCAAACTCTGCAAGAAGATAATAAAACATAATTTAGATCAAGAATTTGAATAAATTTCCAATAAGTTTGGAAAGGCTAAAATGTGTCAATCATTTTTAGAAATGATCTAATAATTTTTGCTTTTTTTTTTTTTTGGAGATTATCAAGATGGTTTGATAGTGATTTAATCATCATTTTAACTGTTAATGACGTTGGAATATGGCTCTAAAATGAGATCTAACACGAAAATTGAAATCTAAAAGCCATTAATATTAAGAGTGTGAAGCTTATTTTTAACCCTAAAAGACAAACCATAAAACATTGATAACTTTAAAAGTTTAGGGTTCTTTTTTTTTATTATTATTTCAAATATTATAGAGTAAATATATGTAACGATTGATCTCATAACTTCTGTCACTTGTCATGGACATCATTTCATTGGATCTATCTCTCACACAAGAGGACTTGTTATGCTCAACACTAAAAAAATCATCTCATCATTTTTCATTAGTATCTAATCTACTTAGGCTTTGTTTGTTTGAGCGTTTTTTTGCCTTTTCCGTTTTTGGAAACGGAGAAATTTTTTTTGTGTTGTTTGGTTCGTCAAATCACGTTCTCAATAACTCCTTTTTTTATTTTTCTGCAGTTTTGAGAAAGCTTTTTATATATGCTTTTCCGTTATAAAACTCCATTTTTTGAACTAATGTTTTTTAAAACTATCTTTTACAAAAGCACAAAAAAAACAAACAAAGCCTTAGTGGTTTCATCGTCCCCGTAATAGTCATTTGGGCTATGTTTTTCCAAAAGGATATCATCATTTTTAGCTACTCTTATAATCGCATAGTGTAGTTACCATGATCAAATCACCTACATCACTTTGAGCTACCCTATATGAATCTTTTTTTTTTTTTTTGATAGCCCTATAGCATTGAAAGACTCAATCATAGCTACCTAAAACAAATTGAACAATTATGATGGGAGTAATTCGAATGGGTAATTATGAGAAAATTCTACACATTTAAGTGTTTTAACATAATAGCCTACGTCCACTGTATAGTTATAGGAAGATTCCAACATGAAGTACAAATAAATATAGAAAGTCCACCTCTTCGCAACGTGAGAGGAACAAAGGGAAGAGAAAGAAGAGGAATTTTCAAAATTGAGGTATGTGATTTATTTTAGAAATCACGAAAATAATTATGCATTCATGTACAATAATTTACAATGAAATTTTGACACACACACACGCACGCGCGCGCGAATGACAAATTTCAGCCGTTTTGATTGAATAATCTCAGGATTAACTTAGGCAATATTTTAAACATCGTACAGTACGATTATGATCGTACAGTACGATTATACAACCTTTCAAATTCAAATTTTTGCCTAATTTAATGGACGGCGGGCTTTCTAATTATAACAGATCGTACAGTACGATGTGGTGATCGTACAGTACGATTAGTTATATTCAAAAATAATTTTTCCAGGAAAAATAAAATATTTTAATTTATTTTTGTTACATCAGTTCGTACAGTACGAAATAAATTCGTACAGTATGATGAACAGAAAAGTTAAAATATTTATAATCATTTTTTGCTCCCTCTATTTGTGTGCATGATCAACAAACTAACATACATCATTACAAGACTTGACTCAATAAATGAAAATTACAGACTCATTTAATACGACCAATTCTATGCAATCTTGAGCCTTGAATCTTCAAAGAACGGTGCATGATGTACCTGAAATATTAGTCAACATAGAAAGACATATGCACTGAAAATACTAGGAGAAATAAGAGATTAATAAATATTATTTGTTATCATCAAAATCATAAACTCGGAAGCCCGAGTTGTAACAGTTTTAACATAATAGCCTACGTCCATTGTATAGTTATAGGAGGATTCCAACATGAAGTACAAATAAATATAAAAAGTCCACCTCTTCGCCACGTAAGAGGAACAAAGGGAAGAGAAAGAAGAGGAATTTTCAAAATTGAGGTATGTAATTTATTTTAGAAATCACGAAAATAAATATGCATTAATGAACAAAGAGAATAAATAAAATAATTTGCAATGGAATTTTGACACACACGCGCATGCGCGCGCACACACAATGGAAAGTCCATCTCACCATTTGTCATTAGCATCTAATCTGATTAGTGGGTTTCATCGTCCCCGCAATGGCCATTTGGGCTATATCTTTCCATAGGATATCATCAGCTTTAGCTACACCTCTTCACCACGTAAGAGGAACAAATGGGAGAGAGATGACGAATTTTCAAAATTGAGGTATGCAATTTATTTGAGAAATCAAGAAAATAAATATGCATTTATGAACAAAAAGAATAAATAAATTATTTGCAATGGAATTTTGACAAACACACACACACGCACGCGTGTGCACACACAATGGAAAGTCCATCTCACCATTTGTCATTAGTGACTAATCTACTTAGTGGGTTTCATCGTCCCCGCAATGGTCATTGGGCTATATTTTTTCATAGGATATCATCTTCTTTAGCTAATCTTATAATCACATAGTGTAGTTACCCTGATCAATTCACATACATCACTTTGAGTTACCTTATTTGAATCTTTTTTATAGCCCTATAGTATTGAAAGACTCAATCAAAGCTACCTAAAATAAATTGGACAATTAGGGTGGGAGTAATTAGAATGGGCAATTTCACATAATTTGAGAAAAGCCTACACATTTAAGTGTTTTAACATAATAGCCTACGTCCAATGTATAGTTACAGGAAGATTCCACCATGAAGTATAAATAAATATAGAAGGTCCACCTCTTCACCATGTAAGAGGAACAAAGGGGAGAGAAAGAAGAAGAATTTTAAAAATTGATGTATGTAATTTATTTGATAAACCACAAAAACAAATATGCATTCTTGAACAAAGAGAATAAATAAAATTATTTGCAATGGAATTTTGACACACACACGCATGCACATGCTATGAAATGTGTGTCTATAAGAAAGGGTGGCTAGAAATAATTGATTCAAGGTTGTTGGCGACATGTTACTTTGTACATGAGAGTGGGCCGACAAGCTTTCCTTTAAAATAAAGTTTGTGGTGTAATCCTAAATGATATAATAAGGAATGTATAAGGAGATAGATTGATATTAAATGATACACCGACGAACAAGAAGTGATGACTTATAATATAAAAGTCATCTAACATAAATAACTTATGATTGAGACTGATTCATATAGAATTGACCTATATAATTGAATATAGGAAAAACACTATGGGTAGTTGTATGTCATTTCTTCCTTATAGTGCTGACATATGAATATAATAGGAGGATATATGAGAGATTACATAAATAATGATACATGACATAATTTATATATGATACACGATATGATTGATACATGAACATGATAAGATTGATATAAGATCATATACTATATATGAATAATTGATTATAAATGATAGGAATTACATGATATATGAATATATGATACATATGGATTATACAACATATATGATGTACTACACTAGTATGTTACAAAATGTTGGAATAAAACACGAGATACATACATAGCATCAACACTGTACGTCATGCATTTAACTATGATATGCACACATATTTCTTCAAGAGAGATAGAAATTATTCTTAATTAATGGGTATAAAAATGTTAGAGTTTACCGACCTCTTGTATATGTTTACCGATCATTGATTACTATTCACTTGATTATTGATTACTGTTTACTTGGTTATTGATAGTTGCTTTTAGTATGTACAATTGCATTTATGTTTATTGATCATATGACCTATTAGTAGTTCATTGATTGTTACATATTTTTATAGTTATATATTCATACCGATAGTGATTAAATGGTGGTGGGTGGCGGTGGACAGCGGTGGCCGACAAAGACTTGAGTTTGCAGTGTATTTGAAAATCACCCAAATATGAGAAATTTCAAATACATCAAAAATTAACTAAAATGAAATACACTGCATTTGCTTTATTTTACATTGATTTTATTTTTCATCCAACCAAACACCCAAATTATCAAAACCCCTGCATCTATATTATTGTACACCCTAAATGCATCAAACCAAACAATCTCTAAGCCATTTGACACAATAACATCACATTAATCGTTAAAAGAAAAAAAATTTCATATTTTCTTAGCTCTCATTTCTCATTCTTGATTGAACAGTTTTGTACGCCCTAAAAAACTGTCATATGCAAAAGGCGTGGGTAATAAATAGAATCCGAATAAAGTGGGATTGTTAGAGAGAAATTAGGGTTCGAGATGTTCCCGAGTGCGACGTGGGCAGCTTGTTGCAGGCTGCAGCGTAAGTTTAGCCAACTCAAATCGTTACGACCGTTAGGGTTCAGAGCATGGTGGGTCCGGAAAGAACTTTGCTCCATTTTTCTCCTTCTCCCCGGAGAAAGCAGTGATTCCAAAGTGAGATAGGGAGAGCCCTCTCAACGGCTCCTCCCATCTCCTTCTTCTACTCTGTAAGCGTACTCTCCTTCTTCTCCTTCTTCTTCTTCGTCTTCATCATCATCATCAATTTGCCTGTTAATTGGTGATAATAGATTTTTTTTTCTTGGATTGTTTTTCTTCTCCTCCTCCATCTGTTATCAACCTCCTCCTTATTCATCATTTGCTCATTCTCTTTATAGCATAAACAATAAAACTGACGGCTTAAATTCTTTCATGGTGTTCATGAGGCAGATTGGAAGGAGAACACACCAGCAATGGAGAATGAAGAGAACAATGCTGAGTCAGGGTTGGAGATTGTAGAGGAACCTGCTGCAATCAAATACTATGGCTGGAAAACAATGCCTTATGTCATAGGTAAGTCAATAAGTTAGCTGAGGAAGAATAAAATAAAATATATATGCAACTTTCAAAATATTTTGAACGTAAATGCCATGCTCAGGATGTATATAACAAAATTTTCCCAAAATTATGAGGAAATGAGTGCTCCCTTTCCATGGATTTGTTAGAATTGCTGAAATTTATGAGGAGTCTCTAGTGAAATCTAATCTTATACGTACACATGAAGATTTTCTGCATCATTCCTCTTTGATTGGTATGAAATTAATATTTTTTTAAAGTTAAACAGGCAATGAAACATTTGAGAAGCTTGGGGGCATTGCCACAGCATCAAATATGCTTGTCTATCTCACCACTGTCTTCCACATCAAAAGCATCCATGCTGCAACGATCCTTAATGTTTTTAATGGAACTACAAGCCTTGCTACTGTTCTTGGGGCCTTCATCTCGGACGCCTTCTTAGGACGCTACAAAACCTTGGGTTTTGCTTCTGTAGTTACACTTTTGGTAACAAATCAACACTCCAAGCCTTATGTTTGATACTTAGTAACTATTTTATTCATTTTTATTTAACTTTCCTCTGCATAGTTTTAATTTTTGTAAAAAATGAACGCATTTGTGAAGAAATTTATCTTTTCTGTGAGAGTAGCATAGACTGAATTACAGCTGAAGGAATCATAGCTTTATATGGAACACCAAAGGAAGCCTTGATTTAGACTCCTTGAAAATAGCTTGCATGTTAGACTATGCTGTCATGATTTGGTAATTTGGAATTGTTTGTATCAGTGCTAGTAATTTTTAGACAAAAATAATATATCTATTGAGATCCTATACACACTATAAAATAGCTCCAATCAGAACTGCTGCATATTTTACAAGCTTTATGTGAGAATTTTGGCGCATTCTTGTATACTGAATTAAATTGTCTAAGACTATATTATGCTGGTGATACTATAATCTTAAATAAAGTTTTTATTCTTAAGCAAAGTGTTCTACACACTCAAAGTCATTCCCATTTTGTAGAATACAGGTAAGTTCAACTATGTTGACACGTGAAAGTCCACTATTGATTTCTTTCTCTCATCATATTTCTCTTTTCTCACCAAAGGGTATGTTTGTCATCATGATCACTGCTGCAATCCCAGCTCTGCATCCACCTTCCTGTGTACAAGGAACAACTTGTTCAGGTCCTACAACAATGCAGCTTGCTATGCTTGCTCTCAGCTTTCTATTTCTAGTGATCGGAGCGGGCGGTATCAGGCCCTGCAATCTTGCCTTCGGTGCTGACCAGTTTAATCCAAAAACTGAATCTGGAAAGAAAGGAATTAGCAGCTTCTTCAACTGGTATTATTTTACCTTCACCATTGCAGTCATGATCTCCTCGACATTCATAATCTATATTCAGAGCAATGTGAGCTGGACACTGGGCTTGGCTATCCCTGCCATCATGATGCTCATCTCTTGCATCTTCTTCTTCCTTGGCACGAGAATTTATGTCAAGGTGAAGCCTGAAGGGAGCCCTTTTATTAGCTTTGCTCAGGTTCTAGTGGCAGCACTCAGGAAGCGGCGTTGGCAATTATCAGATGATCCAAAGCAGTCTCTCTTCAGTCCTCCTCATTTCAGCTCTCTCATCTCCAAGCTTCCACATACTAATCAGTTCAGGTAATTAAGCTTCATATAGTCTACAAGAATGATGTATCTCATTGTGTTGTAGGAGGTATTTGTCATTTAGATCTTAATAATTTCCAGTTTAAAGTAATTGTAATGCTTTTCATTAAGCAAGATGCAAATTTTAGAAAGCTCTCTTCTTTATGCATTGTTTCTTATTATTGAATACAGAAATTTATGTGAATCATACCCAACTATAGTTAGAATATTGTGTGAAAGAGAAAATAGAGAAATAAATAGGGAAATAAGAGTTCTAGAGTGAGAAGCTTTGAGATTTCAATAAAATAGGCTTGAGTGTAGAAAATTACATAAACTAAGCTCACCCCCCAATCCCCTACATGTAAATTTGGATTGAGGCTTGAGTATTATAGAATTAGCTAAATGCATGACTATACATAAAAGAAGAGGAAAGCATAATAATTGGATAGCCCGATCGAAATGTTCAACTTGATGAAGTAGTCTGCCAAGTTCTTAAGAAGCAGTTGACTTGGCATATGTTGATAGTTGAAAAGTCGAGTAGCCTATCAACAATTTACCTCAGAAGTCATCATTCCTTGAGTGGTCGTCAGGGTAAACTTTATAAATAGTAATTGTTGGAGCCAACTGATGGACAATACTTGCATGATTGTAATGAATTCTTAGATCCTAGGCAAGTTCTCTCTCTTTTTTTTTTTTTGATATTTTGATTTACATTTATTTCCCCAATACTCTTATAGCTTTGGAGGTTTACTGCAAAATAGAATAATAAAATAAAGTAGTCAATCAATTTGATATTGACTGCTGACATTGTCTTATTGTCCATGTTATCCAGTACTTAGCCAATAAATAGAGGATTGGTGTTTTTCATTCAAATACTTTTTTTCCCCACTCTTTCCTTCTCTTATTGTCTTTGAGTTCTGCAACTTTTGTGTTCCTGTTGAGAATGGAGGTTCCAAATGACAAGTTCAAAAGAAGTTCCTTGCTTATTTAGCAAGCATAAAAAACAGAGAACTACTTCAGAAAATAAAAATAAGAGAATAAAGATCGAGGAGACAAAGTGTAAGGACGAGATTCACGAATTCGTCACTTCATCGAAGTCTTTGGTGGATCAACACTTTTTATCCCTGCTGCTATGGAAAAATATACCTTCTCTGACAATGACTACTCTCTGAGCTAAAGTTTAAACAACAAGACAATAGAAAAATATTAACCTTATTAAATTTTTAAGTTGATTATACTGAGTGATTTTAATGTAATTATTTGTGAGCTCCTTGTGTGAGACACCAACCACTAAACCTCTTACTTGCCAAGAACTTCTTGTTGAAAGAATAGAAATGGGCTAGGTGGTGGTTCTTGGAGATTGCATGGGAGCCTACTAAAATAGATGAGGCTAAAGTCGCCCAACAACCTATTTAAGTGGTGATAATGTAAGTTTCCCTGATGCATGCTGAGCAACAATTTGTTGAAGGGCCAAGTACTGATATCGACTAGAAAGCTGCTGAGAGCACGACTTCTTCAACTCTGTCTTGGGTAAAATTTTATATTGATCTTGTCAAGAAGTCTTCTTCAAGTTATCTAAATGAAAATCTTCCGATTCTAGCCTCCTCTTTGGCTAAGTTGGCTCTAAAAAAGGATCCCAAGATGCCTCTAAATTTAGTCTGCTTAGTACCAAAAACTTTGAAGAAATTTGCTGGGCCAAATACTGATAAGCAAAAAAGGTCAACTTCAATTATGAGATCATGTTCTCAAGATGTCAACCTATTCCTTAGCAACTCTTTAAGTTGTAAGCTTGAAAAGAGTTGAGGAGTTATCTATTGAAGTCGTCCAATAGAAGCTGTCCATGATTGATGAATTGAAGTTTTTATTTGTCAACTCAACTGAGGAATTTATGAAGTCACTGCTATGAAGGTTTAAGTCATCTTTAGCTGAAGATATATAAATTTACCAAGTTAAATCAGTTCATGATTGGAGGTGAGTTTGTCTTGAAGCGACTTATTGTTAGTGGAAAGATCTTTGAAGAAGTTATCACTAATCATTCTCTTCAATTTTCTTTAATTATTTTCTTGCTTTTGAGGGACCAACTATGTGTCGCCATTCGTGGCAGTGGAGTGGAGAATTTAATAGACTAAAAATTTATTTTTTCTCTTGATTTGATGCAGTGATGTTTTGATTTGACTATCTGTAATTTTCTAAATAAAAAAATGTTAATGGCAATAATAGCGTAACATAAAAAATAAATTTAAAATTCAAATTTTAATTTTTGAAAATACGAATATTTAAAGCGATGTGATGTGGCTTCAATATGGTTATCCTTTCAAAAGTATGACTAGATAAAAACCCTAATATGGAAACCTTTACCCTTCTTGTTCTATTAAGTCCTTGAATTCTCCTTCTTCCTCTTTAGATTTTTTTTTTTTTTTTGGTTTCTTGCACTCACTATTACCTGCAATGGCCACCTTCTTGTTCTGCTTTATGTAGTACTCATATTCTAGTTACTAGCATGCTTTAAGCTCATTGCACCTTTTAAGATTTTAAATTCAAAATTGTCCATGAATCACACTCAACTATGATGGCAATATTGAGTGAAAGAGAAAGAAGAAAAATAGAGGAAAAGAAGCATTCTAGAGTGAGCAGCTCTAAAATTTTAGTAAAATAGGCTTCAGTACAAAAAATTTCATTAAGTTGTGCTCACCTCTTAGACCCCATATTGATAGATCTGGGTTAGGGCTTGGGTATTATAGAATTGGTTATATGGATGACTATACATAAAATATGAGAAAAATACAATAATTGTATAGCCGAATCGGAAAGTTCGACAATATGAAATCATCTACTAAGCTTTTAAGAAGTTGAAGATTTGGTGTTTATTGATAGTCAAATAGTCAAGTAGTTGATCAATAGTTTGCCTTGAAATTTGTTATTCCTTGAATAGTCACTAGGGATGACTTCATTGATAGTAACATTGGGGTCAAACGATAGGTTGTACTCAACTGAGAGTTGCATTCTTATATGATAATCACCTGTTTGAGGAGAGTTCTCTTATAAACTAGCAAGTTTTCTATGAGCTAAGACCAAGTAGATCAAGTCAACTTTGCTTGACTTAGCTTGAACTGGGTTTTCTTGAGTAGTCACTGGGATGACATCATAGATGGTAGTCGTTGGAGCCAACTGATAGGCCATACTCGCTTTATAGGGACAAATTCTTAGATTATAATCGACTTCTTGTAAGTTCTCTTATAAACTGGCCAATCTCTTATGAGCTAAGAACAAGTAGACCTGGTCATTTTGCCTTGAATCGGGTTGATTTAACTTGAGTAGGATTGGCTTGGCTTGAGTTGAATTTTTTGGATATTTGAATGTGCACTTAGAATACTTTCAACCTATTGCTTGATGACTAGGACGCTTATGCTGAGCCTTGATTTGGAAGCTTTCCATCTCAAGCTTATGGTTCATGAAAACCAAGATTCCAAACTTTAATTAAGTTACTATCTTTCCAGCCAGTTTAACACACACTAAGAGATGCACTCAGCGAGTTCACAAGCTTATTTTTCATGACAACTGAAGCTCTAAACTTAAACCAAGTTATTACGTTTCCAGCTAGTTAAATACACATTAAGTGATGCACATGGTTGGTTCACAAGATTATGGTTCATGACAGCCAGGGCTCTAAACCTAAAGTTATTACAAGTTGTTAAAAATGCATCAAGTAATGAACATGGTTAGTTCTAAATTTTATGAACTGAGAACTGCAGCATTTCATTATTAACTTCCAAATGATTTTTCATTTGATACTAACATCTGAAATGCATTTCTGATAGATGGCTTGACAAGGCTGCAATCATAACAAACTCAGATGAAATCAAAATAGACTCAGCTGCGGCGAATCAATGGCGATTATGTAGCATCCAGCAGATTGAAGAGGTGAAATGCCTCCTAAGAATAGCTCCAATTTGGTCCACAGGCATCCTATACTACATCGGCATGGCACAGCAATCAACATATGTTGTTCTCCAAGCAATGCAATCTAACCGTCACATCGGAAACAAAAATTTTGAGATTCCGGCCGGCTCCTTCTCCATCTTTTCCCTTCTCGCTCTCTCCATATGGTTACCGATCTACGATAGTATGGTCATCCCATGGCTAAGAAAAATCACCAAAAAGGAAGAAGGCATCACACTTCTACAAAGAATGGGAGTTGGAATGGTGATTTCCATAATGGCAATGATTGTTTCAGGAATGGTTGAAGAGAGGAGGAGAAACACTGCTCTTCATCAACCAACTATTGGAATCTCAGTAAGTGGTGGAGCCATTTCATCCTTCTCTAGCCTTTGGTTGGTTCCTCAGCTCATGCTTTCAGGCCTGGCTGAGGCATTCAACACAATTGGGCAAATGCAATTCTACTACAATGAGTTCCCTGAACACATGAGGAGTGTTGCAGGTTGTTTGTTCTTCTGCAACGTGGCGCTTTCAAATTACTTGAGTGGATTTCTGGTGACGATTATAAATCGAGCTGGTGGCGACGATGGGAGTTGGCTGGCTGGGGATCTTAACAAAGGGAGGTTGGAGAATTTCTACTATCTAATTGCTGGGATTGGAATTGTGAACTACATGTACTTCCTTATTGGTTCCAGGTGGTACAAATACAAAGGATCTGAGATTTCCCAGAAAGTAAGTAGCTCTGAGTGTCAACCAATTTAACACATTGATTTAAGCTAAACAGGTGGATTTCATTTTGGTTTTTTAATGGAATTTCGAGACTACATTTATCTATATGATATGCAATCATTTCAGTTGCATACTAAACAGTTTTGGAGTATTATTTCATCATAGTCATGTGGAAAAGATATTGATATGGGAAGAACTGATCTGTGTTACATTATTATACCTTATAATTATTAATTGGATATTACACCTCTCAATGAATACATCTTCCATATAACAAATGGATAATTTGCATGAAATTTTCATAAAAAATTATATTTGGTCTTTTCCTGATACAAATTATGTTAGAATTGGCTTAAAAATTACAAAAATTTTATTCTTTTATGAAGAATTTGCAATACACAAATCTTAATACAAATCTAGTAATTTTCAAGGTCAGTTTGATATAATTTATTTGACAACAATTTGATATAATAGTCTTGCTTGTTTTAGAGTTTACTTAGTAATGAGTAGCTTGGTTCAATGGAAGTTTTGGTGTAAAATAAATTGTTTAAACATAAAATTATATATATAATTCGGAATAAAGTTGATGAAATTAAATTAATTTACTTTATATTTTTTCACAAAACAAGGCTGAAGTATTCGAACAAAATTGCATTTATTTTGAACAAATTTAATCACAAACTTCCATATTTATATAAAAGGCCTAAAAATTAAACCTTTTAGTTAAAAAATTTAATCACTCTCCTTTTAGTTATAGAAATTTAATCACACCTTTCTTACCACTTTACTTTTTACACCACAATTATAATTTCTATTTAAATAACTTTTTTCACTACTTTCAATAAATTGTTATTTAAAAAAAAATTAATTTTTACAATTACTTCCAAAAGAAATTACTTTTTTCATTGCAATTTTACAAACATTTTTATAAAAAATTACAATCATCTCAAATCAACTCTTAATTTTAAATATAACATTTTAATTTCTAATGACTCTCATCACAACATTAAATAATGAGTCAATTTTTTAAAATCAAATTCATTCATATTTTGAATCACTAATTATAATTAATATTCAAAAAAGATATTTATAAGCAAACATATTCATAAAATATGTGCTAGATAATTATCAACAACACAAATATATTCGTAAGCTATATCTAACAAATTTTAAAAAAAAAAATTTAAAATATTCACACCAAGCTCTCAACTACATATTAAAACCCGCACAACAACACAAGCATTCAAAATCCAAAACCCCATTTAAGCAATTTCTGCAAGTTTGAGAAGGCCTAACCATTTTTAGCCACAAATGTGAATCCGCTTCCACAGTAAACTCTGAGCAGGCCATAAGAACCAGTTCCCTTGCATCCTATTTGAACTGTTTGAGGAGTACTTTGATCATCTGTGTTTCCTAAGCCAAGCTGGCCATGTTCACCCCAGCCCCAAGTCATTATCTTTCCTTTGTCTGCAAACAAGCTAGCCAGTAATCAGAAACACAGAGACGCAGGCTTCATTTGGGGCGACTTTCTTACTGCTTCTTAAAGCAGCTTTTTAGTTAAAAAAATAAATTTTTATACTAAAAAGCTGCATTATGAAACAATAAAAAAGTCGTCCCAAACGAAACCGAAATTAGCAGAAATCTTGTGAAAATCAAGGGATGTATTACCTGTTACCATAGCAGAATGTTCAGAACCTGCTGCAATGCCAATGACACTTTCATCATCGGGGCATGTTATCCTTTGTAATAAGGGTGCAGATGCAGCCAAAGCTTCTGTTGAGGGCAGCCACAGTCATCAAATGAGAAATTGACTGATTGCAAGTCATTAAGGATGCAAATTAAGGACTGATACAGTGATACATGATCTGGTTTGAAAATCTTAGGCCTCGTTTGGGATGGCTTTCTTCCTGCTTTTTAAAATAACTTTTTAGTATAAAAATTAAATTTTTTTTACTAGAATGTTGTTTTAAGAAGCAACAAGAAAGCAGCCCCAAACGAAGCCTTAAGCTAGTTGGCATATAGTTAACAACCTTATCATGTTCTTCATTCTAAGAAAACTCAACTTGACACAGCTCGCCTTGGTCTGTTGGTTGGGAACTTAGGCTACCAACTAAGAGGCCTTGACTTCGTTTGGGATGGCTTTCTTCTTGCTTTTTAAAATAACTTTTTAGTATAAAAATTAAATTTTTTTTACTAGAATATTGTTTTAAGAAGCAACAAGAAAGCAGCCCCAACCGAAGCCTTAAGCTAGTTGGCATACAGTTAACAACCTTATCATGTTCTTCATTCTAAGAAAACTCAACTTGACACAGCTCGCCTTGGTCTGTTGGTTGGGAACTTAGGCTACCAACTAAATTCAAGTTGTATACTTGAATCGCTTCAAATTACATGGAGTTTTTTCCCCCTTCCATCACCTTGGTAGGAAGTCTGTCAACAATTTGTACATTAATATTTTTTTAATGCCAACCTTCTGAAATATTGCTAATCAAGGACTCGAAAGAAATAAAATATGGGCCTCTTAAATTAGCCTAAGCAACAATGATATATTAAGGTTCACTTAAAGAACTGTTAGGCCGGCCCAAGAGGGCCGGCTGTCCCTATTGAACCGGTCTCTAGTGGACCGGTTTTATACTACTGCCACCGGCCCAAGGGCCCAAGAGGGCCGGCTGTCCCTATTGAACCGGTCCCTAGTGGACCGGTTTTATACTACTGCCACCGGCCCAAGGAAGGTAGAGGGAAGGGGCTGGCTGCTCCTATGGGGCCCACACCTTGATTAATAATTGCTTTGGAGGAAAATATTTGAATAAGAGGCTGTTTAAGAATTTTTTCTCTCTCCTTTAGCTTTAATTAGTTGCTTATGCTAGAATTAGGGTTTCATCTCGAGTTTGAAATCAAATTTTGAGATCTAGGGTTTATTCCTTTGGGCCCTAGGCTTGGCTAGAGATTTGGAGAGTTGTTTCTTCCTCTCAAATTGAAGAAACTTGTATCGTTGATTATTTTTCTTGTTCGTAGATTGAATAGAAGAAGTTTGATTGTGTTTTCTCTCTCTAATTTCCTGAAAATTCTGCATCGTAGTGCTGATTTCTCTCTGAAATCAGCAGTTTTCTCGCTGTTTTTCACCAATTACTGTTAGGTTTGCTTGCAAACTCAAGTATTTCCCTTACGGTTACTTGCGAACTCAAGTGTTTCCTAGCAAGAACTTCTTGTGAAAATACATGATGGCCGATTCTGAGCATTTTCTGAAAAATTTAGAAAACTTTATAAAAGCATATTGCCATCATCTTTTAATGATTGGCATTAAAAAAAAAAAACAGAGATCGAGAGAGAGGGAATACAGAAGCTGTTGTTGAGTTAAAAGAAAGGTTCTAAGCCTTTTGAACAACACTATATGGATTTAAAATATAGCTTACCATGAAAAACTGAGATATCAGGATAATTCTGTCGTCCACTTGTTTGTTGAACAAGAGTAAGCATCCTACCAAGCATATATACTTGACCATCTGTGGTAATTTATGATAACCCAAGGATTAATAAGCTTAAACAATAAAGAAAGCAGCAGAGGTCCAATAAAAACAGGCCTACCAGAAACCAGTAAGGCATGATTCCATCCAAGAGCAATTTGAGAGAATCTCAACGATGAAGGCAAAACTTGAGGCTGGTGATAATCCGAGCATCCACTGAACCCTCTGCCCCAAGTGTACAACTTCCCATTAGCTGATTCCATAGAAACTATCCTATTATAGCAAACCTATACAGTTCTTGCAAGATCCTCAAAAAAAGGGAGATTTACATACATATCAGCTTATATTACTCTATTTACATATTTAATACCTGAAACTTTAATATTACATATACCACCCATAGTTCATTTTCATATCAAACATGAGCAGTAAAAATGAAATATATGAGTGGTAGGAAAGAAATATAAGTAGTATATTTGATATTAAAATAATATAGGGTAATATGCATGTAATATTAAAGATTTGGATGTTAGATATGTAAATAGGATGTTATAAAGTGGTATGTAGGTAAATTTCCCAAAAATAAAACCGGACAAAACATGTGTTGCAGTTTTCAAATATTGTTAAAAGAATAAAATTAGGGTAATGACATCTGTAAAGAAAATGCAGGGTGCGGAATTACCAGATAATGCAGCACTATGATCTCCATTTGCACACAAATTAACTATTCTGGAATCTTCAAATCCCATAATTACTTCTGGAATGTTAATGAATCTTCTACGTTCAGATAGTTGTGTGCCAATTTGGCCATGTCTTGCTGAACCATAACCATATATAGAACTATCACACGCCTCTGAGAGAAAATTCCAAACGAAACGAGTCAAAGAAAATTACAGGTACAATAGATTCAACATTCACCAATTTCATACTGGCAAACGGATTAAAACTTGAATAGGATATTGAATTAAAGATGTAGTCCAATTTATGATTTGCTAGAGCATGTAAGATTAAATTCCAGAAGATAAATTTTTTAAATAATCACTCCAGATGAATGCGGGGATGGAGCTTATTTTGATACAGAACTGCATATGAGAAATACAAAATCACTTTCATGTTCAGTCAATTTCGGCTATCTTCTCTGGATCTATAATGTCTAAACCTCCTAACAAATTCAAATGAGATATCTAAGATTACATAAAACATTCTTTTCTTTATTAGATAGCTCTTCGTATTCATCTCATTCTTCCTGGATTTCAGCTATACTTCTGATTAGCTCAATAATTGATATTGTCTTATGAGTCTTCCAAAACCGATGAGCTTTAACATTTCAAGTATAACACGCATTACTCAGCAACAAACCACTTTGGAAGACAAGTTAAAAAAAGATCTTTCAATGACCTGAACTTGAAAGGCTTGTAGCATAAGCTCATCCAACAAATCAAGAAACTCTAAACGTCACTTGGGAAAACTTCAACAAAATCAAGGAAATTATCTTCTCAAATTAGAGCAAGATTCATGAAGTACTTCGTAATGTGTCATTTATCAACTAGAGTTCCTCGGAAGTTGCAAACAATGACTTTGGGATGGTAGTTCCTTTTCTGCTATTATAAAGCGCTATAGACTGCCAATGCTGACTATATTGGAGAAGGATTCACAAATTTTTGCATAACTATTCACCATCGGAAGCTTATTGATTCTTTACCTGTTGTCACTAAGGCAAGGGAATGGCGCATCCCACATGTTACTTGCACAACATGCTTTGATAGAAAGAATAGCACTTCTTGAGGTAAGCTACGTGACTGATTATCTCCATTCCCGAGCTGCCCAAATGAACCATCACCACACATGAAAAGACGACCAGTATCTGCAAAGCCGCAGCCATCAAATAATACAGAATCAACATCCCACCATTTAGCAAACTTTATTCCTCATATAAAGTAAGTTTACGTAGCATTTAAAGCACTCAACACCAAGAAAATATAAGTAAAAAAAAAATTAACATTCAGAAGCTTAAGGAGTAATTCAATGCTTCTAAGAGCCCCATTTTTTGCTGATAGAAAGAATAGCACTTCTTGAGGTAAGGAGGAGTTCAATGGCTGGTAGAGCAGAAATAGGGAAGACAGCTTACTAACAGACCCATTTTTTGCTGACTAGCGAGTAATTCAATGCTTAAGGAAAGCATTCAGAAGCTTAATGAAACCAAACAGCAATTTTCAGCGTCCACCTTAGAAATTCTACATAAAGCATGTCCATGAAAATTTTAAGTTGCAAAAAGACATGAATTTATATTGACTGTACAATAAACTTGACAATGTCAATAATATTTGGAAGAAAACATGTAGAATATTGGAATATCATAAGAAGATGGCACATGAGTTCAATGCTCTCAAGTTTGGCCATATAATAACCTGTGACAAATCCAGTGTGATTCCAGCCAGCGGAAATGAAGCATATAACAAAGCTTTCAAGAAAATCAACAATTTTTGGCTTTAAATGATTTGCTAGATCCCCATGGCCAAGTTGGCCACGTGCACCTCTTCCCCATGTAAACACCCTTCCATTACCTGTAAACATCATGAAAAAGGATTTGTATCAAAATTTAAAAATATTGTCCAATCATGGTAAATGAAAGCTATCAAACTTGTTCCAAGATCAGATGAAAGCCACAAAGAAAAGAGAAACTATTGTGTAATCATGAGACCATGTTATGAGCACAACAAGATGACACAAGATCCATGTAGATCCCCTCATTCATTCACAACTTTGAAGCCCACTTCATGCATATCAGAAGGCCTACTCATGGATTTTCTCAACATGTCTACAATTGATCAACTTCCAAGTTTATTGACATGAAAAACTTGGTTTGTCACCATAACTAGCACTTTAGCATGATAAACCAGGCTTGACACTATGGACAAAAATATTTGCCCCCTCATGAAGAACAATTTGCGCCTTACACGTGCCAGAATCCTTCAGGCACCTGAGCCGACTTAGTAGGTCAAGCATGAGATGCAATAACGTAGCGATATGGGTTCCAATCAAGTGGATAAAAGATCTCACTCAACAAGAAGTACCAATATAGCTTGGTCAATGCCTTGCTAAGCACGACACAATCAACCTAAAACCCAAAGAATGCCTGTCGAGTACCTATGTAGCTTGGGTGTTGCCTTGCTAAGGAAGACAAAATCACCATAAAACCCAAGGAATGCCTTTTGAGTGCCTATATAACTAGGGTGTTGCCTTGCTAAGCATGGCAAAATCATCAATGATAAAGGCCCAAGTAACCTCTCCATTTAACTCAATAAAAGCTCAACTTTACTAATATGAAAATAAGAAATTACATAGTCAAAGGCCAGACATGAAAAGTTAGGAAAGATCACAGAGAACACCGTCAAGATGGTTTAGAACTTCTTTAAACATCCAAAAGGCACCCTAATAAAGAAGCATCCCAAGCCTATTGACAACACAGGATCTTGAATTGGAACAAAAGTTCTAATAAGATCAATATATATATAAAAAAATCATAACTAAGATTCACCAATCAAAATCTCTACTGAAAAGAAGGATTTACTTCCCAATCCTTATAACACATGTGAAAAGAAATATGGACTAAGATTTCATGGGAACCTCAAAAGAGAGTCACACTTTGCAAATTAGGCTTGCTTGTTTATCAGTCTATAAAAATCCTTGTCAACTACAAACATGGTGATCTTCTTCCCATGACAAGTCATAATGAAGAGTAGACTACAACTAAAGGGCAAATTCTTCTAGACATAATTTGTCTTGTTGAAATTGATGTTTAAATTCCTAATAAATCATGTATAATTTCAATAAATCTATGGATAAATAGTAATTTTAACATTTTTTTTAGAAATATGGTCACAACTCATATCAACATTGACTTATCAAAATATTCACCAAAAGCAGATAGCAAATTAGTTCCCTAAATTTCAAACTAATTATAAATGTGCACATGCGCACACACACAGATTAGGATTTGCAAAAAAAGAATTAATAGACTTATTTTATAGTTTTACAAATATGATTTTAGTTTATATCAATGTTGAATCAATCAAATAGTCACCAATAGTATATAGCAAATCAATTCCTTAAATTACAGCTCATTACACGCACATGTGTGCACTCAACCTCAACTAAAAAACAAATGTACTATTAGCTATTTTCAATTTTAAAGTAGGGAGCAAACAAAGAATGAAAGGCAAAAGATAAGGCTTAAGAGTCCTTCACATCAATGGAAGCAGATTACCAATGGTTGTCCATTTACTGCAAGTTGAGATCATGACCAATGACAGTGGTGCAAGTGATAGTTATTGACCTGCAAAAAATTGACATCGGTCGAAGTTATGCCTTGAAATCTAAGGGACGATGATAATTAATCTGCTCTCTGGAGCTGAATGCAAGGAGGAGATTGTCACTGGAGAACTGAAGACATAAAGCCACGTCTGACAGAGGCTTTGGAAAGGAGTTATTTTAGTTGGTTTCTCATATTTTTTATTGCTCTTACACACTTAGCTTTCTCTCTCCCAAATACACATATACAACCTCCATCAACCTCTTATCAAATCATCAGCCATATCTACTACACTTTCCTAATCATCATCCAGTCCTGAATCAAATGGAAGCATCTCTTTCCAAATATCTCATTGAGAAATAACAAGAATAAAGAAAAGGAGTACTACTGATCAAGACAATATGAGAAAGTCTTCTGTCCAATGAGATGCGGGGCATCAACAACTAGTCACCAAAGAGACATCAATGAAATATGTGACACGAAGACAACGTAACCCGCTTAAATTCAAGTTAAACAACTTGGCGCGATTGATGATAGCAGGCCAAGGGAATGTCATCGCTCAGGTATAGGGGATGCGCAATGGAGTGGCTGCTAATGTAGTGGCTCGGTACTTGTGAGTGGAACTTGCAGTCACTCATGCTGAAGGAACTGGAGAGACAATACTTCCAACTCTCAACAAATATTGAAAAGGTGAGATGCTCCTCGCTACAAAAGAAGCACCATTGTGCCATGCAATCGTCACTAGAACTATTTTTATCACGTTGTTTTTACTCAAACCATTTTCGATTCCTAATGCTTCCATGTCGATTTTACTTACCCTTCTTATTGAAGCATCCATATTTTGTATACATCCAAACTCAAAATCACTTGAAACTTATCCACGCGACTAACTAATAACTAATCTTCACTACTTGTTCCTCTCATAGCCCATTTCACTTCAAATAAAGTTTCAATATAATCTCTTACCATATAATGTTCATGAGCACTTCTTCGTTAACTATAAAGCATTTACTTTAGAAGTTAAATTCTCATCCATATCTTCATTCTTTTATATAATATACACCTAGTTATGACTTGATCTTCTAATAATATTGAAATCTAATTATCAATTGCAGACACACTAAAATTACATATGAAGTTAAAAAAAAAAATTACATATGAAGTACATAATCTTTGATCTACCAATTCCAAACTCCTAATTTTCTGAAGAGAAAATATCTCTTCGATTATTCTTATTTTCTAAATATCTCATCAATTATTCTAATTTTTCACTCGTCTCACCCACTTGAACTATATATAATATGCAAATAGCACACACAACATATCCATCCTTCTCAAGTAGGTGAACTAATACTTAAAACTTATCGGCCATGTTGGGTTTTGTAATCAAATAAGAGAAAAACAAGGCAATGTAAAATAGTAGGTCATGGGGAGATCATTGAAAAAGAAGCTTGTTTTTTTTTAATATCCAGTGCGAACCTCTAAATTGTTGGACTCATTTCCAGAGAACCCAATAGACAAACAACAAGGAAAAACACAATTTCGCTACACAAAAGGGTCTAGGTGATGTTCAAAATAATGTTGAAATGAGCAATAGTTAACAAACACCCACCTATAACAGGTGGAAGGGATATATATATATATATATATATATATATATATATATAATTTTATTATTTTTTATTTTTTGAGATGCAGAATGAATTTTTTGACTTGAATCATGTGACAGATCTGAACTCTAACTAAGTAGTGCCTACAAATTTGAGACGCAATAGAAAAGAGGAAGGAGGTTTTAAGAGTTAGTTTGATAGAGCAAAGAATGTTGCACAGGGTAAGGTAAGGGACCAGAATCATGCAAAGCTATTGAATAATTCAATTGTACAAACATATGGGCTAAGCTGATCAAATAACTTCATATAACAACAAACTTTTGTATTTCTAAACCAAAAAAAAAAAAACTTTTGCAGCATGTATTTGTTTATTTATTTTGAGATTTGCACCTTGGATCTCTACATTGATGGTCAAAGGCAATACCACACAACCAAGTGACCAGGGGAGATTTTTAAAGGACAATAAGATGAAACTTAAACATTGGCATTTTTATCCAGAGTAACGCCAATAATTACGTTGGAAACTTGAAACTCACTCAATAAAATGTCGACTTTTAATGGAGTCAAAATCAAAATTGATTTTCTTCAACTCAAAATAAAACTATACAACACTCATTCAGGCACACACACATACCTGAGTGTGTTTATATGATTTAAAAAATAGAGTAAGAGATTCTGCTCTAATTAGCTATAAAATCAAGTAAAAGTCGTTCTTTTTGGATTCAACTCCAATCAAACTCAAGCAAACTTCCAATTTTTAATTCAAGATGAGGCCATCTCTCAAATTAGACTAGACGCCACCCCTCCAAAGCATACTGGCTTGATGCAATTTGTGAAGAAAGGTATTATCCTAAGTAATGGGCCATTCTCCACTCCTCATATCGGTTTCCACGCGCAAAAAATTGCACTTTTTTTATGCCAACCAACATACATCAATCGAAAGCTGAAACATAAGTGAAAATAACCAAGAGATGAAGACTACTGGTTAATGCGATGGCGTGGGCTCCTCCGCATGCCATTTGTGAGATGGGATGGACCAAGGAGATGCTGCGAAGGGCCTGAGGTGCCGACTGGTCCTCAAGTGTTCCGGTGGCGAGCTGACCCTCAGAACCCGCACCCCAGCTCCATAACCTAATCTCCTCTTCTTCCTCGCCTACCCTTTCTTCTTTACCTTCTTTCGTCTGTGATTCCTCGGCCTCCATGCTCTACCAAACAAAGCCCTAAGCCCCCTAATTCCCAAATTATGAGATTAGGCTTCGCATTTAGACCGAGAGAGAGAGAGAGAGAGAGCGAGAGCGAGAGAGAGAGATTAGACTTGGCGTTTGATTTAAATAAATTATATATTTTTCTTCAAAAAAAAAAGATAAATTATTTATTATAATTATGGTAAAAAATATTTTACATTTTCATATATTAAAAAAAAACTAAAAAAAAATTCGATGGATTAGACTAATTGAGTTAAGTAGTTATTATTTTATAAAGTATGTATTGATGAACATAATTTTTTTCTTAATTAGTACCACTAAGATTTTATTATCTATTAATTTTACCAATCAAGTTTGGAATATTTAATTGTTTTTATTCAATATTCATTAAAACTGATTAGAATTTTAATTTAAATAATTAATTTATAACTGCCTTAATATACTTAATTAATTGATATATTAATATTCATATTTTGCTAATAACTATTTAAATAATTTGATTGGGTTTTATTAGGTTTTAATCACGATCTTCAATGCTTGTATTAATATATTATTGTGTTAATTAATTTAAATGACTAATTAATAAATCATATAAAAAATATATGCATGAATATATATATATATATATGCCAGTTATTTGTATCAATTGCTTAGTTTATAATAAATCACATCATTGTCCGTAGTATCAATAATAGTGATCTATATCAGTAATAGTAATTAGTGTCATCATGAATAGTAATAATATCAGTAGTAAACAGCACCAGTATAATGTAAGCTACAATATCAATAAAACACTATGATCCATATCAGTGATAGTAATAAGTAATCATTAAGTAATCAATATTTTATAGTAAATAATTAATATTTTATCACATATTCATATTAAGGTATCTTGCTTATGCACTTACGACTCCCAAGAAATCTCCAGCTCCTTATGACTTCTAATCATTTCTCTAAATTATTGTTATGGAAATTGTTACTATGAAATCATTGCTATGGAATCATGATATTTTTGTATCTAGGGTTATAATTCTATATATCTGATATTAATTCTTACCACATTTTCTATTAGGATCAATATAGAACATCATTCCCTTTCTCAATCAACCCAATATTATATTATATTTCAACATGTCATTCAGTTCATTACATCTTACCAACCACGACACATCGTTTTTCACTTCAATTTTAGTACACATTTTCACACACATTTCAAAGAGAAATTTCTATACATGCACAAATATGACCGGTGAAAATGTAAGAAAATCATATCAAATTGTTCATAATGATCAAATCTATAACATATTAGAAGTTACACGGTGAAAGTTATACAATCAAGAGGTAATGCGTTTTTGATAGAGATAAATCCATATAAATTAAAATAATTGAAAATAGAAGTAAGATGCATGATAGTTACTTACAATGAATAGAACAATATATGCAACATGAATGGTGGATAAAAATGACTTGAAGAGATTTCTCTATCCTATTTCCTTCTTCTTCCTCTCCCTTCTCTTCTCCTTTCATTCTCGACCAAGCATGTGAAGTGAGGGCGAGGTGTTGCAGGGATATATATAAAAAATATGTATTAAAAACTATTGTTAGTGGCCTACCACCGCATATCAATTTCAGAGTTACTGTAGAACAGAAACTCTGCCACTGCAACGATCATTTTAGTGCCGTTGTGCTCTAGACCTCAGTGCCTCGACGCTCAAAGGTATAGCGCTGACGCGCTGCACTTTAAGTAGAAATTTTTTTTAACACATTTTGTTTTCAGGTTCTCATAATCACTCTCCTTATAAAGTTGAGATTGACAATTAAGAAACATTTATCAACCTTTATGGTGACAGCGAGCATTCAGATTCTTAACAACGATAGACTTAACATTAGTTGTAATAATAGGCATTGGTGTTGATGGTATGTAATAACAACTTTATTGGCAGTGATGTATTTTAGGTTGTGATGATGATAGATGTCAACTTTGGTGTCAATATTGAGCATTGTCCCTATTGGCAATGGCAAGCATTGACTTTCTTGTCAATGGTGGGCATCAACTTTAATGTTGATGGGAGGTGTCGCGGTGTCGGCATTATTAATGACAACGAGTGTTGGCATTACTATAAAAAATGAGGTATACTTTATTGGTGATAGGAAGCATTGTGATTATTGAAGATTACGACATCGACTTTGATAGTGATAATATTCATTGACATTGGTGTTGACAGAGGATGACAACCTTATTGTCAATGATGAGCATCTTGATAACAAAATGCTTCACGCATCAGGCATGATAGTGATGCATGGACATTAGCTTTATTTAACGAGATGAATGTTGATGTTGTTGCATGTAAAATGAGTTACATCTAAAAAAATCATTCAATATCATTCAAATTTTCATATTCCAACTTCAATCCCTATTATATATACCCTCTTAAATATATTAACATATCTCACATTATTAGTTTATTACAACTATTCCATTGCCAAATTATGAGACATTTTAAGATCTTATTTTTAATCTTAAACCTAATTCCTTTCGAGGTATATATATTACTTCATTTTTATTCATTATTTCATTAAAAAAATAGTTTGTATTACGTATTATTTTTAAATTTTATGCGTTCTCATCTATATTAAGCTTTCCTTATCATTTTTTTTAATCCCTTTCCAATTTTTTTTGTTCCATTAAGTGTATATATTAAATAATAAATTATGATATGATGCATGTGCTTCAATTTATGTTCATGTTATAAAGGCTAAATTAAATGTTATGATGAAATTATTGTTCATAAATATGGTTGCAGTGCAAGAATTAATTTTATGATTGTTATTGACAATAAAAGCTAAGAATATGATTTATTTGTTATTTAAATATGACAACTATATAAATATTGTTCATTTTTCTTTGTTTAGATATGTGATTTATCTATTTAGATTTAGGTTTCATTTGGGACGGCTTTTTTATTGCTTATTGAAGCAGCTTTTTAGTGTAAAAATTAAAATTTTTGTACTAGAAAGCTGCTTCAAGAAGCAGTAAAAAAGCCTTCCCAAACGAAGCTTTAATTTGAGATAGCTTTCTTATTACTTTCTGTACAAAATTTTTTTGAACTATAAATTTTGGTATTAAAAAGTTATTTTAGAAAGTAATAAAAAAATTAACCCAAATGAAGGCTTAGTGATATGATTAAATAATTCACCATAATATGTGATAAATATTTTTTTTGAAGAAGTTTCATTGTTTTCCACCACCTTATTTAGATAATAATTTTATAAATGATATTTAAGTCATATTTGATGATATTTATATATTGCATATATCCACTAACATATAAAAATCTGGTTATGTGATGGATGAAAAAACGGGGAATGAAAGGAAAACTCAAAATCATTATTGTTCTTCATAAATAATATCATCTTATTTAAAAAGATAGTATGAAATTAAATAAATTGCATTTGGCATATAACATTATTATTTAAATGTTATAGAACAAGGTTTCATTTGGGAAAATTTGTTACTAATGTTTTTTTTTTTTTGATATTTTCAAGAATTTTTTGTACTAAAAAGTTGCTATAGAAAGTAAAAATTTTTATTTGTCTCAAACTAAACCTAAATCTTCTTATTACATTATTTAAGTGAGATAACACTGAATTGAACACAAGATATTTAATATATTAAATTATTATATTAATAGCAATATTTTCTTGATAATATGAGCAAAATATTTATATTTGATTTATGATAAAAAAAATTTATCAGGTTACACAAGATATTTTTTAATGCCGTCAATTTTACGTTGAGATTAGTGTAACATATGATATCAAAATATTGTATTAATCTCAACATACAATTAATGACATTTAAGTCTGTTAGAATTAGAATTGCATTGTGATTCTTGGCTTTAATTGGATTGAATGAAATTTATGGAAACACATTAAATTCAAATAAATTTTGAATTATTTATAATATTATAATCCTTAATTTAAAATATTCCATCCTTCCTTTAGCTAAAAAAAAAAGAGACAAATAATCTTTGTATTTATATTATAAATTAACAATATGACAACCATAACGGTGCCAAAAAAATGGAGTCCTTTGGCCTAAGCTTTGTTATCACGTGCAAGATGGTCAGGGAACATTTTGAAATCGCTTGGCCAACGGCTAGTTTTCTTCCTTTCTTCTCCCACACACACACACTGCACGAACTCCAAAGAAATTTACTCGCTCTGTCTGCTTCCTTCTCTCTCATCCCTGCACCTGTAATAATTAAAGCCAAAAGGACATTTCCCTTAATCCCCACCACATTAGTACCGACTCACTTCTCGTTTTCCAATTTTCTCTTCGAAGTTCCAACACAGAACCTCCGTCTTTCTCTCTCTATCCTTCTCGTGTTTCAAGTTTAGCCTTTCCTCTTCAAGCAGCAGCCATGGATCAGCGGATTTCTTCTCTTTTTCTTTCTCAAGTGCTTGTTCTTGCCCTAGTGTTCCGTTTCGCCTGCGCGCTAACTCCCGATGGTAGCTTTCTTTGTCACCTTGGAAGCTCCTAGCCCTTTTTGGTTATCTCACTTCTATGGTTGCAGGGATGGTGTTGTTAGAGCTCAAGGAGGGGTTCAACGGCACCAACTGGATGCTTAGAAGCTGGAGGGCGAAGGACCCAAATCCCTGCGGTTGGGCCGGAGTCACTTGCCATTTCCCTGACCTTCGAGTTAGATCAATGTTGGTTTTTTTGGCATTACCCTCTTCTTGCTCGCTTTGCATTTTATTATGTTCTCTTTTGTTGACGATTTTGAATATTGGGCAGAAATCTTCCATACATGCAGCTTGGTGGCATTATTTCTCCGAGCATAGGCAAGCTCACGAGGCTGCATAGACTGTAAGAGTTTCTAATCTGGGGAGTAGTGGTAATTTTGGCGAAAAAAAGTCTTCTTTTTTTCCCTTAAACTGTTCTTTATTTTTTTTTTTGCAGGGCTTTGCATCAGAACAGCCTCCATGGACCGATTCCAGTAGAGATTAAGAACTGCACCGAGCTGAGAGCTTTGTGCGTGATCCTCACCTATTATTTTTTGGAAAGTTTCATATTTTTTTCCTTTGGAACTATTGATTTATTGTATGCGAATTATATTTTTCTTATATATTTATTATGAAGGTACTTGAGAGCCAATTACCTACAAGGAAGCATACCCCCTGAGATCGGAGATCTTAAACATCTCACTATTCTGTATGTTTACTGAACCATCTCGATAGTATATCGTCCTGCTTTATGTTTCATTTGAATGTATTCGTAATGGCTCAATTAACTGTAGGGATTTGTCTAGCAATCTTCTAGGGGGAACTATACCTCCTTCCATTGGCCAGCTTACGCAGCTTCATTTCCTGTGAGTATGCTTGTTCACATTTTTTTAAAGGCCTGAAGGCCCTGAATCCATGTTTGGAGTAGCACCACCCACCTGAAGATGTAATAATTTCTACATTTGTTGCTCTTGAAAGATAATGAATAATTTGATATATTTAGATAATTAACTTGTGAATTGAGTTTGTTTGAATTATAATGTTCTTGTAATTTTGGGCACTTGTCTAGGCCTGATAAGTTTTGTGATAATAATAATAAGGTGAAAGGAATTACGACCAAAAGGACATGAATCAGCAAAACTGATTTCTTCAAAATAATCCAAATTCCAACACCTACAAGAAAACTACAACCAACATTTCATTATAATCTTCATTTAAGCCTTCACATATAATTCCAAGGATCCCATCACTATACCTTATCTTCAGTAAAAGTGGAAATTTCTTCGTATGAAAATTGTTGAAAATATTTGTGAAAGTTACTCATCCTCAATACTAGGAGGAAAGAGCTTCTTAATTTTTTTCCTAAAAACCAATGATTTTCTTTGTTGTTTCAGGAACTTGTCCACCAACTTCTTTTCGGGTGAAATTCCAAATGTTGGTGTTTTGGGCAAATTTAGAAACAGCTCGTAAGTTGCAATAACTCTCTAAATGATTGCTTGATTGTATTGAGATTTGAGAGTAACCTCTCTTGGCTCAAATTGTTTTCATGAATTCAGGTTTGTTGGGAATCTGGAGCTATGTGGGCTCCCTGTTCAGAAGCTATGCCGAGGTACATTGGGCTTTCCTGCAGTGCTTCCACGCTCTGGGAACTTTCCTGCAGGTAAATTTTACAGTTCAATGGCATGTTGGCCATATCGTGAATTTTCTTTATCTTATAGTAAGAGTTAGTGGACTCCGTTAAAGATCATTTCTGATGTTTCAATGTGTTTTTATCATAGAATCATCATCTGTAATTCCACCGACGACACCCGGAGGAAGACCATCATCCCACTTTCTTAATGGTGTCATACTCGGTGCAATGTCTACCATAGGCCTTGCAATTATTCTTGTTCTTGGTTTCCTTTGGATATGTTTATTGTCTCGAAAGTGGAAATTTGGGCAAAGATATGTGAAAGTGGATAAAGAGGTTCAGATTGTTGGTAAGTTTCATCCTATTCTTTTTTTTTTATTAGGTTTCGTTTAGTACGACTTTTTTATTGCTTCTTAAAGCAACTTTTTAGTATAAAATTTTTAATTTTTAAACTAGAAAGCTATTTTAAAAAGTGATAAAAAAGCCGTCCCAAACGAAGCCTTAATGTGATATGCTCTATCTCTCAATGTATTAATTATTGGATTGAATTTGAAAGGCACTAAGCTTGTTACATTTCATGGAGAGTTCCCATATTCATCTGGGGAGATGATTAAAAAGTTAGAACTACTTGATGAAGAAGATCTGGTTGGGTCAGGCGGATTCGGAACGGTGTACAAGGTTGTCATGGATGATTTGTGTGCATTTGCTATTAAGAGGATTGATCGAAACTTTGAAGGATTAGATGAACTTTTGGATAGGGAACTCCCTATTTTGGGCAGCATCAAACATATTAACCTTGTCAATATAAGAGGTTACTGTAGGCTTCCCTCAGCCAAGCTTCTCATACATGATTTTATGAACTTGGGAAGCTTAGATCATTATCTCCATGGTAAGTAAGCTCTCCACTATAACTTAGCTGCGTTATATTTGAAATTTATATATTTTATATAGATTTTACATATTTTTTCTGGTTTAATTTGAATTAATTGTAGAAGGGCAGGAAGAGCAGCCTCTGAACTGGAATGCTCGGATGAAAATAGCTCTTGGGTCTGCTAGAGGACTTGCATATCTGCACCATGATTGTTATCCGGCTATAATCCACCGCGACTTCAAATCTAGCAATGTACTTCTTGATGAAAGTCTTGAGCCTCATATTTCTGATTTTGGACTTGCCAAGCTTCTTGTTGATGATGATGCCAATGTCACCACAGTAGTGGCTGGTACCTTTGGCTACTTGGCACCTGGTGATTAATCTTATCTTGCCACTCAAACCTTTTCATACAATTCATATTTATATGGTCATGTGCTCCACTCAGGGCATCTCCAACCGAACGTCAAATATGTGTGTGGCATCGTTGAATCGCTCCAGCCGAGCGCCAAATCTTTCGTTATTTGCTTGTTGGTGAACAGTGCGACGCCAATATTGGCGTGACACTGTTCACCCACGCGATTTTTCTGTCTCAACCAGATTTGCCATAGAAACGTGCGAAAGAGGAGAAAGACGGTTACCTTGGCAGAAACGACCAAAATGAAGTTCGATTGTAGATGAATCACGACATTTTTTAGTTTCATTGCATTTTAGAGTGAAAAATGAGATTTTCGGTTGGAGATGCTCGCAAGAAAAGAAGAAGAAGAAGAAGAAGTATTCCATACTGAGCCAAAATAGTGAGGATAGAACTAACAATGTGGACAATAACATAAAAACACAATTAATATTTCTAAATCTCATTTCTTGGTTATAGAATACCTTCAAACCGGCCGAGCGACCGAGAAATCAGATGTATACAGCTTTGGCGTGCTCTTGCTCGAGTTGGTGACAGGGAAGAGACCAACTGATCCATCATTTGTTAGAAGAGGCTTAAATATAGTAGGCTGGGTAATTTCATTTAACTTCTCTCTCTCTTTCATTTGCTGTTCTGATTCGGGCCGAAAATGAACTTGATTTGATTGCAGATGAACACTCTAACAGAAGAAAATAATAAGTTAGAGGATATATTGGATTTAAACTGTGGGACTGTGGAAGTTGACGCAATGGAAGCAATCCTTGACATTGCAGCTATGTGCACAAACGCAAATCCTGATGAGAGACCCACCATGTTCAGAGTGCTTCAGATGTTGGAAGAGGAGCTCATGTCTCCTTGCCTTAGTCATTTCTATGAACCTCATTTGAACATATAATGGGCAAAATTTTGGTATTTAGATATTGTAAATATGCTCTACTTGTTGTTAACTTGTTTCAGCATTTTTGCCATTTGTTTCATTATATTCCCATTTGGAAACTGGGTTTTTCAAATTTAAGAGTTCTTTGATGTTGTTATAGGCATTTGAAATGTGAATTATATTTTATATTTATTTAAAATAAATTTAATTATTATTATTATTTTTTAATTTTAGATGAGTGGAGTGTGTTGCTTTAAGAATAAAAGTAAGAATTAAGCTAATTTGTCATAAGTTAAAATTATGGGAGAGTACTTGAGCATAGGTTACAACATGATATTAATGTTTCTCAAAATAAGTTTGGATTTGTACTAGATAGGTCTATTATGGAAGCTATACATTTATTGAGAGGTTTGATGGAGAAGTATTGAGAGTAAGAAGGGAGCATTTACATATGATATTATTGATTTAGAGAATATAATATAAATTTTCAAGAGAAGTGCTTTCATAAAAAGAGAAAATAGTTAATAATGTTTTATACTCTAGTCATTAAGAGTATGCATGAGTGTTGTTACTTGTGTTCAAATAGAAGGTGTTTTGATCAAGTATTTTGTTATTTCAATTGGATTACATCAGGATCAGCTTTAACCCATATCTTTTTGCTTTAGTCTTGAATGTTCTTACAATATATTTGCAAGAGGATGTACTATGGTGTATGTTTTTTGTTGATGATGTTCTTCTTGTTGATAGGACTAGAGGAGTAGGAGTACTTGAATTATGGAGGTATGAAGGCCAACTTTAGAGTCTAAAGATTTTTGTTTAAGTTGATCTAAAACTGAATATATATATAGGTGTAATTTTACCTGTAATAGATCTAATGGTGGGTTGACTTTGTTTGACTAAGTCATTAAAAAGAGTGCACATTTTAGAAATCACATGTCTATTTTTCAAAGCAATGGTGAAACATATGAAGATATTGTTAGTAGAATTCAAGTTGGAAAATTGAACCGAAGGAATGCGCTTGTTATGTGATGGAAAAGTTTCCCTCAAACTTGAGAAAAAAATTTATAAGATGGTGGTGAGTTCTGTAATGCTTTATGACGCATAATGTTGGTCATTAAAACAGAAGCATAAAATTAAGTTAAATGTTGTAGAGATGAGAGTTCAAGTGGATGAGTGGTTTTATGTAACAATTCAAATTCTTAACTATCAATATATTATCTAATTTGGCCTAACTGCATCACAGTTTTTTCATATTGTTGTAACTTCTCAGAAGGTCACCCATCCCGTGATTTCTCCGAGATGAGCACGCTTTATTGTGGAGTTTTTTTTTTTTATGAAATTCCTACAATTACACTAAAAGGCGTCTTGATATTTAAGAGTTTAGCTTCTTTTATTTAAGGGGTTTTACTTATAGAATCGTAGTTGGTTGATGGAGGTTGAAAGGATTATAATCAGGCAGTAGAGATCGGAGGACCATAGTCATATGGTGTGGATTTATTCACGTTTGATGATGGTGGATTGGTGGTCCAACAGTGTCAGTTATGTGACACCCAAGAATCTAATGGAAGGATTTGACTTAAACTTATAACTAATTAACTCATCCATGAATAACAAACAACAAGAGCAACTAAAATTTTCAAAACATAAAAGCAATATAATTAACTTTCTTTTTGTCAAAATATAATACAATGATCCAACTAAAAAATTCTATACATCAACATAGTAAAACTAGATTACAAAATCAATACATTATACTTCAATCTAAGAGAACCATCCTCTAGACTTGATCTACTCCACTAGACCCTTTCCTTTGTATGAAACATTCAAAGCAGCATAGTGAGCTCGATTAGCTCAGTAGACTCCCTCCTTCACCCCTCACATATATTAATATCAAATGCAAATATTTAAGAGCATTGAATTAAAGTAAAATAGAAAGACTTACGAAATGGCTAAAGCATAAGCAAAACCTAAAATTTACCATAGTTCCATTATATACATAATCTTAGAGCTAGCACTTATATTGTCATAACCACATAACTATTTACACATGAGCCTCAAAACGATGTACATAATACCTTTTCTCAAATGTTCACTTCCATATCACTTTCACTTTCATTTTTCCAATAGAATTCATTCAAAAGTTCATAGTTTATTAATACAAATTTCAAAATATTTATAATGTTTACTTCATAAAACATTAATATATAGAATGTAATAATTACAATGCATATATTCTGATGCCTGCTTATACCTCAATTTACCTCCCTCAACTGCATATAACAAGTGGGGCCAGAATCACTCCTACTGTCCTACATCTGCATAAGATAGATGAGGCCATAAGAGTACTTTCAATGTTACTTCATCTCTGACACTTGTTTCCAGCCAATGGAGTCATAATCCCTCATACATCTACATCATACAAGTAAGACTAAAATAGTAAGTGCACTTTTCCACCATTCAGAATAGAATATCTCAATAGCCAGGTAATGCAAAATGCAAATGAAATACAACAATCCTTGATGTAGTATTCAGAAAGTGCATGATTGCAAGTGAAAATCATATTACTTGTAAAAAAGAATGCTAGTTGAATTTTCCATTTTCAATTTATAACTTAGGTCACATGAACATTTCAAGTCTTTAATATAACTACTGCATTTGTTAGAAAATTCTCAATTCAACAATACATTTAGAAAATCGTGTAGGGAAAAACTAACCTTCAAAAACTCAATTTCGTATAGTCAAAATATCTATAATAATGAGTATAATAAAATATTAAAAAAAATCACATGGTGGAAACCTCATAAAATATGTGAAAAATATATTTTTATTCATATCTTTTTTTAAACTTATTAGAATTAAAATCAGAAAAGGGGTTTTAGGAGTATCTTGAGTTCTATAATATCGCAAATTGGCCCAACGGATGAATCCTAAATTTCAGTCTATGAATCCTCTTTTCTAGTTTCTCTTTCCTCTTCTCCTCCTCTCTTCTTCTCCAATATTGGATGGATGGAATGGTTTGGTAAAATAGTTTTTTTTTTATTATTTAAAACTCACTATATTGACCTAATGTCGTGGCGCCCAACTCCTCAGCGTAGCTATGCTCCTAGAGAATCTTCTAGATTCTTCCAGAATATCTATATTTGAGACCCGAAGCTCAAAATCAGGGGACCGCCAACCCCAACATTGTGATGGCTACAGAATAAATTCCAAATATTTAGGTTTCACTTCTCAGACACCAAACCTTAGTTACTTTCTATCACATATAACATTCTAACACTTATAATTACTAATTAACTCAAAATTAATAATTATTAATAGAAAACTATCTAAATTTTTTTTACGATGAATATTACAAGTTAGATGATAGTCTGCTGATGATAGTTAGACAATGCTCCAACAGTAGTAGTTTGGTGGTGGCATTTAAGCCTTAGTACTCAATTAGAGCTTCATAATTCTTCGAACCTTTGTGCTCTTTTGAATCTCAAGAAAATAGCTAGTTGGAAAACGATGCTTGGGCTATAGTGGTTGGATGATGGGAAATGGACTTTTGATAATCAAGTTATGACACCCTAGGATCTAATGGAAGACTTGATTTGCTTAGATCTATAACTAATTAACTCTTCCTCCAATAATAACAACCAGAGCTACTAAATTTGTAAAATATACAAGCACCATGATCAACTTTCATTTTATCAAAATATAAATATATAATATAAAGCAAAAATATCTAAATATCATAATGAATGAATTGGATTACAAAAATCAGTATCTCAAGCATTAGACCTCATAAGCCTACTTCTACACTCCTTTACTCAACCAAGTCCTTCCCTTTTTCTTTAAATAATAAAAGAAATGGAGTGAGCTTAATTTGCTCAATAAACTCATTCCCTTACCAATCCCAAATATTCATATCCATTGCAGATATTTAAAAGGAATTAATTAAAAAAAACATAAAAAAACTTATGAAATACTTAAAGTATAAGGAAAACAAGAATTTATTAGAGTTCCATAGCACATCTGATCTCAGAGCCAACACTTACACTTTCATAACCACATAACCACTATTATAAAAGTTTTCAGGCACAACACAAAATACTTATTCTTAGTGATTCACTAGCAAGCCACTTTCACTTTTACTTTACCCAACATAATTAATATAGAGGTTCAAAGTTTACTTATACATATTTCATAATATTTCTTAAATTTAACTCATTAAAATATTAAAAAATAAAATGGAATGATTATAATGTACATGCCTTGATGCCTATTTATAACTCTATTGTAACTTATGCCTCCCTTTACCTTCCGCACCTGCATATTGCAAGTGGGGCAAGAATCCCTCCTGCATCTGCATCAGGCAGATGATCCCAGAAGAGTGTTATAGCATGACTTAACCTCCTACACCTATTTTCAACAAGTGGGGCCATAATACCTCCCACATTTGTATCATGCAAATAAGGTGAGAAGAGTACATTTAAGACCCATGCAATATAGCAAAGAGTGCATTTTCCAACATTTCAAAATAGAACACCTTCATTTCCATATAATGCAAAATGCAATACAATGCAACAATAATTAAATTAGACATTTCATGCCATATTCAGACGATGTGGGAATTGCCAATGAAATGCCACATTACTAGTAAACAGACTTCTCATTGAATTTTTCCCTTTCAATTTCTAATTTTAGAGGAATATTTACATAAATATTTTAAGACTTTTATTTAGCTACTACATTTGCTTGAAAAATCTTAATTTAGTAATATACTCATAAATTCATGTAGGAAAACCCAATCATTGAAAACACAAATTCATATAGTCAAAACATTCAAAATAAGAAGTGCAATAACATATTAAAAAACAGACACTAAAAAATTGTAAAACTCGAGAAAAGCATATTTTCATTCATATTTTTTTTTTATGAACTTACTAAACTTGAAATCAAAGATAGGGATTTTGGAGTCTACCTCGAGCTCTACAATATTTCTAACTGGCCCAACAGACTAATCTCGGGTTTTCACCTCCGAATCCTCTCTTCGCTTTCTCTTCTTCTTATGCTCCTCCTCCTCCTCTCCTCTTCTTTGGCAAGGCTGGGCGGAAATGGGAATGGATCAATGATTTAAGATATTTTAATATTTAAAATATACTAATTTGATCAAATGTCGTGAGACTCACCTTCCCAGCTCTACAGCGCCCCTAGAAAATATTTCGGATTCTCCAAGAATATCCTCTTCTAAGACTTGATGCCTCAACGATGCTTCCCCGGCACTGCACCGCATGCCCAAACCTATTTTTTAATCATTTTTTTCTAAGAGCTCAAAGACGGGGCGTTGCCAACCCTAGCGTCGTGGTGCTCGCAAAGCAAAATCCCAATTTTCCCTGCTTTCCAACCCTAAACCTTGGTTCATTCAAGTCCCATTAAATAGTTTAAGACTCATAATTCTTAATTAACTTAAAATTAACAATAATTAATAGAAATTTATCTAAATTTGAGATGAAGAATATTACACCGGCGACATTGGTTAAACATCAATGATCAGTGACAATGATGTAGTGATGCCAGTTAAACAACGATGGTCGTTAGCGATTATCATTGACATCAAATATTATGAATAACTACATAATTTTCCAGACCTCTAGCTTTTCTTCAAACTCAACCATGGGACCTCTCCTATGAAGAATGGAGTTCTATGTATAATTTTTTGATAGTGACATTTTAATAAATTTGATCAAACTTTCATAACACCCCATCAAAAGCCATATATTAAATCATTTAATCATAGATTTTTTTTTTCTAAATTATTGAGAAATTCTCATCATTTAATCATAGATTGTTTGTTCAATATTCAAGTGCCTTTATAACTTTATAATTTGAATAATATTAGGCTCGTTGGACTCATCTCCTGATTTCTCTTGACTTGATTACAAGCATATAAAAATTTGGAGATTATTTTGATCATTTAATTAATGTCATACTTGAAATATATCTTAATAAAAAATAATATATTTAATTTGCATCCAACAAAATAATTTATGTATTTTTTAAATTATTTTTAAAACATCCAACTAAAAAGCTGTTTTAAGAAACAATAAAAAAGCCGTCATAAACAAAGCCATAGGCTTCGTTTCAGACAGCTTTTGTGCTGCCTTTTAAAACGGCATTCCAGTACAAAAATATCAAATTCAAAAAATTTTTATACTAAAAAGTCATTTTAAAAAGCAAGAAAAAAGCTGCCCCAAATGAAGCCTTCATCAAACCAAAAAATAATCATCTTAAACATATCACAGAAGTTCAATATGAAAACAAAAAATAATTTTCATTTAGTTAAGAAATGACCTCATCAAGTGATAACTAGTACATATATAAAAGTGGGATTAATGATACCAAGAAAAGATAAGACTATATCCCTTCTTATGGCCATCTTCATTTAGTGCCATCCCACGTCTTAATAAATGAATCATTATACATACAATAAATAGTCGCCGCTGCCTCACTGACGATGACCATCTGGTAGAGTCACGACTCTATAAAATGGCACACTCCTTTGAGGCAAGGAGCCATCTTCTTCGTCATCATCAAATTCAAGTGAATAGCTGAACCAAAAAAAGAATAAACATTGATGTGATCTATGAACAATCTCAATAAAAATATCCCAAGAAATCATTCTTTGAGCATAAGAAAACTTACTCATCAGCTTTCCTCTGTGATTTAGGATGCATATTGGAACAATCAACGACAAGAAAAGAAAAGAAAGGTATCGTTAGAACTCAAAGCAACGAAGAAGTTTGATATCAGTAGAGGTTCAAATGAGCAATGGATGATTAATGATCAAATAGTTTTAATATGATTTAAGATATGCTTGAATCTTAGAGCATAAAAGCTGTAATCAAATAGACCATAACGGAAGTAGTCACAAAGAGTGTCTGATGGTGCGAACTGAATGCATTGGCCACATGGAGAAATTATTTTGTGGAGTTCCGACTGGGAGAACTGTCTGAATTTACTACGTATTTTTAAATACTCAGCAAATAGTCAGTTATGAGTATTACTAAGCATCTTGTGAGTATTTGCTGAGTATTTTGTGAGTATTCGTTGAGTATTTTGTCAGTATTTGTTGATTTGTTGAGTATTACTAGCAAGTACTTTTCCACAAGATAGATCAAGCGGACGAATCAATACAAGGAAATCAAGGGGAGCTTGGAAAGATAATCGAGAGGAGTTTTATAATTACTACTACGGATTTTCCCTGCAGTGTGTGCCAATGTAAAGTACAGAGCAAATTACCCAATAAAATCATGAATAGTCAAAGCTAAGTGTCTCAAAAAATTGTGCTTAGGAGATTTACCCATCCTGTTTGGTCATTGCCTCTAGCACAAAAAATTGCTTGATTACATGCCGGCCCACCCATACATAATGCGCAAGAGCGTGCAGAACAGAAAAAAAGGAAATGAAAGGATGAGATTACCTTGCGATGAGTATTCACAACAGTTGCTTTATACAAAGCTGTGGTGCCTGGATAGACTGCCAAAACATGCTTGCCTGGAGGAAAATCCGGTGCATTGGATGGATCACCTTTCTTTGGAAAAGGAATGATGCGGGACAAAGGCAACTTGTACTTTCTGAAAATTTCAATCAAAACCAAGCACAAAATTGCCCAAGTTAGAAAATCCTATTTAATTCAAAAATCTAGAATTATATTAATTACATGATAGAATGAAAAAAAAAGGTAAACTGATTTAGGCTTCTTTTGGGACGGCTTTCTTACTGCTTTTTAAAGTAGCTTTCAAGTACATCAAATAAAATTTTTATACTAAAAAATTGCTTTAAGAAGCAGTAAGAAAGCCGTCCCAAACAAAGCCTTAGTTAACATAAAAAATGGCTGCAACTTGGATTGGCTCAGCCGCAACTATTAAGTTAATAGGTAGGTGGTAAAAATTTCAAGAAAATAAAACTATAAAAAAAGGATCAGCTTGAGTTCAAAGCCAAACTTGATGTTGGCTGCCTTTGGGTCTAGGCCAAACCAAACAAAGCCAACCCTAACACAACCCCTGGGTAAAATCAATCTGTAGTTCAACCAGCACTCACTTCAAATTACTCTGAGCATAGAATATCCCAAAAAGACTATAACATGACATTTTATTTTTAATGAATCACATATAAAGGTTCAAAACACAGAATTGTTTTAAATGCAAGTTCAACTTATGGTGATCAAGCCGAATATTCACCAAAATATAATTCAACTCTATTTAGAAATAAGAGCAACTAATTACTAACTATAGAAAATATAGTTTTAGCCCTGTAACTCCGTTTTGCCTATAGAAATAACACTGAATATAATACTTGCAACTTGGAAAGCAGCCTAACATAAAAGTTTATAGACAAACTGTAAAACAGATCCATGGAAATGAACATATTCAAAAGTTGGTTTTCTTAAACTTGAATTTGGAGATCGCGATAATCATGTGACCGCTGCAACAATCACATAAGGAACTTTTATGCCTACAACAGGACAAAGAATGTGACAATTATATCGGTACACATTGAATTGAGTGCTATTCCTCCTAAGAATTCTCAGATCAAAACTCCCAAGAAGGGCGAGATAAGTTCAGAAAGTTGAGCATGCAGAATCAAATATGGAAAAGCTCAGAAAGTCATTAAAGACATTGAATGTTGGACTTTTTTACACAGATATCGCTCCCTAAAAAAATGCAATTGCAGGCAAACGAAGGCAAGAAGATTCCACTTAAAATTATTCTAGCCCCAAATTAGAAGATTTGAGGCTGAAACTTAGCATTATATATATATATTCCAAGATATCTATATCCTAAAAAATAACATACTTTCCAATGTTGCATCTCAACGACACATAAATAACTCCAAATTACCTTTTGATAAATTAAATTCTGCATGCCAGTATAAGGACAATATATTCTGTGTGTATAATTAATAGATTCAGGCTTTGTTGGGACGGCTTTCTTACTGCTTCTTAAAGTAACTTTTTAATATAAAAATTTTCTATCTTGTACTAAAAAGCTGCTTTAAGAAGCAGTAAGAAAGCCGTTCCACACGAAGCCTTAGTTTCACATTGTGGTGATCAATTGTACACACTAGCAGCTACTCAGTAACAAGCAACATGAGAAACTCAAAATAGTACTCTCCCATTTAACCCCTCATCTTCTTGATAAACCTTTATCTCAACAAAATTTACCAGCTAACATGGTCTGAAACAATAAGCACGCACATCATTCATTTTGGGACTAAGTTCAAGGAAAAGTAAATGTTCGTAATCCTATCTAGAACTCACTTCTGAATGCTTTCCTCATCATCACCGGGATCCTCATCAAGAACATCAAATCTGCACATGTAGATAAGATATGTTTCTCTTAATAAAAATAAATATTTAACGAAAAAATTTATATTAAAATATATACAAGATTGAAAAGGTCACTTAATGAAAAAAAATTGAAATGGCATAAGGAAAATGCAAATCCTTAACCAACAAGAAAAGCCTTCAAAGTTTTAAATTGATTCATGAAGTCATATCGCAGGGGAAAATAACCCTAAATACCAGCTTATGAAATGGAAGCTATAAGACAATGAACAAATTCAGTACATGCTTTGCATCGGATAACAAAAATATCAAAAAAATAGAGTGAATAATGTTCCATTTCTTAAACAGCTGCGAATAATAAATTTTGCTTGGATAAGGAAAGCTAAATATTGTAAAAACACCCTACTAAAAGCTAGCTAGCTGGTAAGAGAAGCTGCCAAAGCACCTTGCTCCAGTTATCTTCTGCCACATGATTGCAGCAACAATTTGCCATTAGTAAAAAAGAGCATGACACGATTCCAAGTTCATAGGCATTGTTGGTACTGGAATACTTTCCTTCTAATTTCATATCATATATTAATATCTATTATGGAACATAATTTAATAGAATAGAGGGTAAGCCCGAGGCAGTGATGACTTGTTATGACTATATTATCTTCCCAGACCTCACATAGGTCAGACTCCAGATGCACTAGATATGTCCTTCAGACAAGATTAAATAGAACATTATAAAACAATATAGTGCCACTGCATTTACTTTCTTTCTAAAAATGTAATCTATTCCTAAATTAACTCAACCACTTTACTTATCTCGTTGAATAACTGACCAAAGTTAAACATCAACTTAAAGTTCTATTTGGCATCATTGCAAAAGAATTTCAATTTGATAGGAGTTTGTGGCCTTTGAAAAGCTCGCCTGACCACTTTATAAGAATCATGAATGAATTTTCAAAAGGTAAATTAAGTAGTGTCTAAAATAATAACCAAAGATTTCTCGCTTATTAAGAATTTTATGTTACCGGTTTAAGGCTTCGCAAAGGCGCAAACTCCCGTGGCAATTATTCCTCCCGATTATGAAAGAAAACTCTAGATTATGAATGGTCGCAAGGCTACAGTTTCCCATCTCGAGGTGTTTGCATTCGCAATTTTAAACTAGCTATCATGACTATAATCAGACGAAGATAGTGAAGTGATGATGGCAGATATTATCCAATACTATAGCTCCACCACCCAAAATTTGTTGGCATACTTCGATCTAGCAAGTAAGTTAATTGCATCAAAATTCTCCTTATTATCAAAAACACAACACAAATATTTTTCTATAAAATCATACCAACAAAATCTTGAATAGCATAAAAAATCCCTCAACTTTAATTCTCAATGATTCGGTTGTATCATGTGCAAATATATATATGTTTGTTAGTCCATTTTATCAGTGGATGATAGCTTTGTAAATAAGATTTCAATGGCATGCATATAAATATCCTTTTTTTGTCCTTGACTTGAAAATCCTTCATAAAAACAAAAGTTACATCATTCAAGGAACCTCAAAGATCAGGATTGTAAAACTTGCCAATGAGGCTAATTTCATTGCAAACCTTAGCTAATAGAGAGCTTTGAACCCCATTAGATGTGTCAAACCACTAATAAACTCATAGAAATGGCCATTTGTAATAAAATAACAAGTTTAGTGGAATGTTGATGCATCACAAGAAATCAAATTAAAATTATTTTAAATTTATTTAGCTTCATACAAACTAATAAAGAAGGCCAAAAACTTTGATAGACATTTCACGTCACCCCCACAAAGACGGTAGCCAAGAGTGAGCCAAGCCTATCTCATTCACTAACAATAGCTAGTACAATGATGCACGAGGCATCAAGGTTATGCTTTGAGCTTACTACTACCGTCCAAATGCATGCATGAGTAGGCCCTGAAAGACCTAGGTAAAAACTCTCCACCCTCACCAAAGAAAATCATGTGTGAGTGCATAATGTACAATTTCCTTAGGAGGATGATTTTGGATTTATATGATTCTATTTAATCTTAAGCGATGGATTTGAAAGCTTCTAAACTACAAATTGTTATGGTTATAGCTTAAGTGATAGACGTGAAGTGGTGTCATGCAGCTTATTATATTCATCATTAATTCTAGCATGCGGCCAAAACATATTTGCCTATGAATGCATTGGATTGATCTACGTAATGTTTTGGAATAATCTAGTTTTCTATTAATGTTGTCTATGGTTCCAATAGGCTTCAATTTTCGGGGAGTTTTTTATGTTATATGGTAGTTAATGACTTGTAATTTTCTCTTAAGCTGCTTTTCTGCACAGTTGTTAGCAGGCAATTGTTTTAGTGCTATTTGTTGTTATCCTATTGGGCTATGACCTGTTTCAGGCAATATTTTGGGTGACTCTTAGATGCCGTTGCACATGTGTGAGGCTGTTGTTGGAAGATTTGTTCTAAACTTGCGGATTTGGTAAAATTCATAAGTTAAAAAGTTAAGGTATAACAAATTCGTGAAGCACTGGATGGGGTTGTTTTTAGAGCATTTGAAAGTTTAGATGAACAAAAAATTTTAGTATAAAATTAGTATTTAAATTTTAAATTTTTTGTAACAAAATTGAGTTATTCTTGGTCGACCATATGCTATGGTGAAAAGTAAATGTTTGTGTGTATAGAGAGAGAGAGAGAGAGAGAGAGAGTCTAATGCATTATTCAACTTTCATTCAATAAAATAAATTATTCTAGTTTTCAATTTTGCACGTGTAAATTAGAAGTATGATTGCATTGAATGTGGTAAAAGAGCAACTATTTAATTATGGGGATATTTATCTCCTTGTATTAGCATAAAGCCTAGAATTTCTCTACTTTGATTCCGTCTTTCATTCACATATTTTCTTCTAAATACCTTATTACTAGCTTGCTAGCATTTTGGATTTTGATCAAATTTGATATAACTAGAAGTCTAATTATGTTGAATAAATTGCAGCATTGCAGAAGCTCATTAATTTTGCATGCTTTGAGTTTCTGGTTGATTCCTTCATATTATCCGATCACCAAAAAATCATTTAGATTTAATTCTTGTACTTTTCTAGTTTACACCAAAAGGAAGCAAATTTTTATGTATTTAGTGATGAGGACATCGGAGATCAACGGCTAAGATCTTTAGCTATTTATTTATATGTTTTTGTATTAGTTTATTTCATATTGTTGTTTTTCCCTTTATACCCTTATGGGTGGTCATGTAGTGTTGTAGCCCGAAGGGCATTTCAGTCTTTGTTATTTTTTTTCTCATAAGGCCTATTTATAGGCTATCTTTCTTGTATTGAGCGGATGATGATTGAGTGAAAATTTTGGCTCTTGTGTTCTCTTTGTGAGTTCCGTCTTGAAGATCTCTTAGTGAGTTCTTCTCTCCTAGATCTCTGTGTGAGTTCTATGGAAAGCCCAAGGTGAGGGCAAAAGCAATACCCGCCAGTCGTTGGAAGCGTCCTCGACTCGTGGTTTATTTTATCTTATTATTTTCTTCTCCAAATCTCGTTTTCCTCCTCTCCACCCCAAGCCCTACCCGAGATCCAATCATCCACCGCTTTATCCACTAGCTTCCTCCACTACAACCCAAGCTCCATCAAGAAACCCCAACCCGACGGCAAGCCCCTCTTCCTCCTATAGCCGCCGGCCACCACCTTGCCCCAAAGCCATGATGAAGATGTCAATCATCATAATGGCTCCTTGATTGAGGTCCCGCATTAAATGCATGAGTTATTGAATTTTGAAAATCAAATTTCAAATTCAAAAACTTTCCTTATTTGCAAACTTCCAAATAAGGAAGTTTTTTCTAATTCAAAATTCGAACGGAATCTAATTGAATGACTCATTATTTTCCCCCCATAAGTTTCAAACTCATTTGGAAAGAAATTACTCTCCCTAATCACTCCTCTCCCTCTCACAATGTCGCCGGCCCTATGAGGGTGAAATTCCCTTTAATGCTCCATTAATGCATTCAAGGCTCTTGAATCCAAATTTCAAATTTAATCCCCTCCAAATCCCTCATGGATTTTGAATTTTAAAATTCCCCATTCAATTCCCAATTAATGCATTGATTACAATTTAATTTGAAATCAAATTTCAAATTGATTTCCCCCCAAAACCTCTCAAATTCTGAATTTAATTTCGGGATTACCATTTATTCCCCCCTCCCTCTCTCTTGAAACCGCCGGCCACACCTTAATGGGCTTCAATTGATGGGCCCTGACTTCTCTAGGAAAGAGTTTGACTCATTCCCTACTGCTGGCCGAAATTTTGAAAGCCCCTCTCCCTAATTTTCTTCCACTAACTCTTCTCCAAACTCAATCCAACGTGGAGCTCTCTTCCTCCTAAGACTGCAGCCTGAAATTCAGCCGATTGTCTTGCTCCCTCAGCCTGTGGAAGACCTATAATTGCTGTTTTGGGAAGACGGAACTGCTGCCCACAAATCCTGGCTGCTGCCCAATGGTATCCGGAAGAATTCCAACAAGGGAAACTAAAATTCCTGCCTCCTAAAACCTTCCAACTGCTGGACGCTCTTCTACAACTTGCTGTCCACTGATTCTACAAATCTCCTAGCACCATAGCTTCAGCCAGAAGGTTCCAAATGATGTCCAGAATCTATCCAAAATAGAAATTGCTGCTGTCTTGAAGATCCACACCTTATCGTGGCTAATCGGTGGTGCGAAAAAGCTGATGGTGGCTGTCCTAGTCGCCCCCCCAACACTCAAATCATCCTGCAGGAGTGCGTATCTCTCTTGTCTGTGGGTAAACTCTTCTTCCAAACTCTCTTATCTTCCTAGTTTACTTTTCGTTTATGGTTATTAATGGATTCATGAAGATCATGCCAATTATTCGCCGCTAAACCTAGTAATCGGAAGAGTTGTGTGAGGGATCTTTTCATAGCAACTAATCTTATTGTTAGTATTGGAATTTCTCGTTGAAATCACTCATGTATGCAAAGTAAGACTTAGTTGACTATTTAATGATCTCAACCTCTCGCATGTGTTAGACCTAAGCTATTTTATCACCTTATCATTTTTATTTTGTCGTTTATCATCAAGAGAAAGCTTATAAGTATTGTACTCTAAAATTTAAGCGTGCAAACTTCCTTAATTTAATCATCCATGCTAATACGTTTCACATCATTTAGTGGTCTTTGATTTGAAAATCTTAAGTTCTTTTGTGTAATCAGCATATATTTCATCATTATGTTTATACTATGAAACCATGACACTAAACTGTCCCTACATCAATGGCACCACCAGCCTTACTCCATAGGAGCGCAAACAACACTTCCCCAAGAGCAAGCAACTGAAAATGATGAAAAAGAGGCAAGGTTTCTACACCCCTTCCTCTTACAATTATTAAGGAGGAGGCTTCCTCCTTGGCTTACAAATGATATGAAACTTAGTGTTCCCGTCAGAGAGCTTAAGAGGTGAGGAGTCTCCTTGGAGGGAAGCTAAAGAAGGACAGGAGCCCACATGAGAGCTAGCATGGATTATATAAAACAATCAATTCAAAAAGCTGCACACCAGGCTCTAGGCATATACACAAGGGACGAAAAGATGCTAGAAACCATGCATATATATTTGCAAGCTACCAATTGTGTATTTTGAGAGGCTTGTAGTATTTTCCTAGAATGAAGAGAACCTTGCTTTCAACAGTGAGTTTTACCAGCAACCACTCCCAAAGGCATAGGCCCAGTATTGGAGAATGGGTTAGCCAACCTAGACCAAAACTAGATCTAATGTCAAAATCATAGAACTTCGGGAATGGTTAACAGGGTCACACGTCATAGGCCAAAATAAAAATATAAGTATGTTCTTTGTCCGCACTTTCAGCCTGAATTGGCCAATTAACACTATTTAGACAAAATTAAAATGTTCAGCATCAGTAGCAATCCACATTCTTCAACAATGAAAATTCTAAAACAGTAATTGCGTAACCATGGCTCGATCCATGATTAAAGGGAAAGAGAAATGGGGAGAACATTCTTTATTTAGCATATAAACTGACTGTAGATGCATGCACAAGAATAAAATTAAGTTTGTAGGTGCTTAAATTGAACACACAAAGTGCTATAGATCATAAATTCAGCATAAAAACCATTAACAACTCAATCGCAGAACCATGATAGCCTTGCATAAGGGAAAAAGGAATTCAAAATGAAGGAAATTGTACTAAAAAACATCATGCTCAACTCTTTCGGTGTTATTGAAAAAGTATTCATGAAAATAATTATTTAAAAATATGAAGAAATGACAATAACAGCAAGCATCAACTCACTCTTTTGCTTCCTTATCAAAATGAATTACTTTGACAACAAACCATTCATCTTTTTCGGCATCATCAGGAGTCACTCTTGCAGCTACCTGGAAAAGAAGTCTCAACAAGAATATGATTTCAAATATGGGAACTGTGATAAGGTAAATGCTTGTGCACAAGTGCTATGGACAGAGAATTTTATGCTAGAAAATGAAACAAGGGGAAAATTCAAATCAACATTAAACGAACAAAACAAATTTATCATCATCAACGATAGACTAGCAAACATCAAATTAGGAGACATTTCATGAATTTTATAGTTTATAATAATTTTACTATTAGATGTCAGCCTAACATCAACTGCCAGTCGTTCTAGTGTAAACATAGACAAATAACGGCACATTTAATTAAATAATACATTACGACATATAAAAAGAGTTTCTAGGTCAATATCAAGGTGCAACAAAATCATTAAGCTTAACAGATGTAAAATTGATAAACCTTGATATTATAGAAATGATCAAGCATAATTGATGCAAAGTGAGGAATTGGAAGTGGTGATTGTGATGGAGTTTTGGGAACTTGAATAGACAATAGAAGAAAGTGGCATAGAGGAAGAACCACGGAGGTAAAAAGAGAAGAAATTCAAAAAAGAGATAAAATAATGCCTCAATAAAGGCAGATAAGATAAAGAGAGACTCGTGAACAAGGATTGAAAACATGCCTTGGCATGCAATAATCATTGTTCAAACTTTTAAGATTTTCAAGCTTGTTCTTATCCATGAGATAATTTAAATCATTCAATGTCCTGACAAATACTTAGGGCTTAGAAGTCAATCACCAATCAAAATGCCTAACATTCATTTCACACAAAATATTTAGCAAGCGTACCCTTTCATAGGTTTTTTCGTTGCGATTGGACTTCTTTGTCATTGTTATCAAAAGCAAACAAATAGTGATGCAATTGTCAAATACACCAAGAGCTAGGCACGATTATAGGTGCTTATGCAAGCAAAATGAGGCACAAAAATGAAAATGATATCAAAAAAGCTTACCTTAATTATAGGGAATATTTTTGAAGAATATAACTTAAAAAATGATAATTATCACAATAAACTATACTGCAAAACATAATGTACTTCCAAATTTTAATTGCATTTAAAAATAAAATTAACCGCTAAGAAATTTTTGTTTTGAATTAATAATCATGGATTTTTCCTAGCATGAAAATTATCTCATTAAACAATACATGGATACATACAATAACTAAAAATGGCTAAATCTAATTTGATTTTTCACTTGCTATCCTATAATCAAGTCACCAATATGAATAGGGATACATCATGCACAAGTTAAAAATAGTTACCAAATAGGCTAATATTAAGTCGAGATTAAGCAACTTTGGCTTGGCTTGATATGAAAAAAATTGGCAAACTCAATTTGAATTTGACTAAAAAACAAAATCATTTCTAAACAAATTGACTCAACTCGGCACGACATGATTCAAATTTGAGATGACTCAAAATTGACTTTTGAGTTCAATCAAAATTGTTGATTAATTAATTATTTACATAAATATGATAATTGTATTAATATGTTATATATTATACAAATCTTATACATTACATGTAGTATATAGATACTTATTTCAATTTGACTTGATGTTTTACTATATATTTATATAAATATGAGTATTAGATTGTATATTATACAAATATAACATCATATAAATTATATGTTGCATATACATACTTAGTTCAAGCCCACTCAACATGTATCGCAATGAGTCAGATCAAACATGAAATCAACTTCAAGTTGGGGGTACAGCTAGCGATTAAGTCCAAATCAAATTTCAATTGAGTTTTGAGCAAACTGAGTTTTAATTGTTTTGAAACTTATTTTCACATGCCAATTAGATAGAGTAATATCGAAAGCATTTCAACTTGTTTCCTAAATGAAGTGCACTTACTTTATGACTATTTTTTGTTGCCGCAAAGCAAGTAAAAAGTATTTTAAAATAAGTCTCGAGCATATTAGATCTACTATAAAGGGAGAATGTGAGTTTATAATTTTTAGACTTAATGTTGACTTGTTGAGTAGTTAAAATGACAAGGTTCATAAAAAAATAATATCATGAATAATTTAAGAAAGAAATTTACAAAATGCAATTAAACAATATATGTTACGATAATTTATGTCTTGGATGATCATGAAATCACTAATAGTCATGTTTAGCATGGTAGAAATGATAAATGTTTTGAAGGAAAGTCTAGGGAAGTGGTGAAGTTGCCTTCATTGTAATATGGAGGCTTCAGATTTGAGTAAAAAAATAATGTCTTCCCATAACTGCATGCATCAACCCCTTCCTAGCCATCGAATTTGCAGAAATTTCATGCCCAGAGTATACCCTTTTTATAAATTGAGAAATAATTATATAAGAAAGTTTGTATGAGTAGCATGTACTAAAAATAAGATAGTGCGAGAGAAATTTAGATGATTTTAAAATTTATGTTAGTGGGTAGAAGATTTATCAATAAGACCAATAAAGAAAATGAAGATGTAAGGATTGAAAGAAGAGCAGGTTAGTCTAAAGGTAACATAAAAGCATTTGTGCACAAAAAATATTTAATACCGAATGCAACATTGAGCAAAATTATGGAGAATTACGATTCACAAAGCCAACATCAAATAGTTGGGAACTTGGGATAAGGCTAACAATGATGTTGAAGATTATGATAAGCAACTGGATGATAGCACCAATGAAATTTAAGCATAAAGGAGACAGATAGCAGCAGGCACAGACGATATGTTATATGAAATTAGCAGCATAAGAATGATGACGAAAAAAATGTTGTATTGGTGAATAAGTCACCCTTGGCTATATATGAAATCTAAACGCATTACCTGCTCTCCCTTCAAACTGGCCCAATACTCAAGCTGGTTCCTCATAGAAGTAGCGTTAGGAAATCTAGAAATATCTGAATCTGTTTTAATCCTTTTCTTCTTCTGCTCGCTAACCTCTACAATGGAACAACAGAGTGCATAAGTGCAAGAACATGCAAGGAGAAATATCCAGGTAGCGTACATAATGACCCTTTGACATTTATAATACTGCAATGGACTGAACAAAAAAGGAAACAATAAAATAAAAGACTTTGCATGGTAAAAAAAGTGTATTAATGCATGTATATACACTAAATAAAACTTCATATTTTATAGCTAAATCAGGCATTTGGCCTTTGCACAAACTTATGAGCTCATGCAGTTCACAATTAAAATAGAGAGGGGCTTCCAGAGGATAATGTGATCACAGAATACCACTGAAAATTAAGGGTGGATTCCATAGAATGGCAACAAGATTAGTTATGCCATGTAGATCCAAATGTTGGGCAATATAAAATTCACTGATAACCAAATCATGTGTAGCAATAATATGTTAATATGAACTGGCAAAAAAATAGGAATGATAAAGTCTGAAATGATTGTATCAGAGAAACTGTCGCAAAAGCACATATTTTAGACAATATTTTATGTAGTTTGGGAGATAGAATGACTATGAAAGGCATGGGAAATACAAGTGATAGACAAAAAAGTAACTAGACTAGTGTATGTATTAGAGTTAATATCACATGCAACACTTAACATGAATGATGGAGAAGACAGAATTATAAAACCAACCCCAAATAGCAGCGATAATTAGAAGGAATAAAGAATTACACTAAGGCCGAGAAAACTCAAACCACAGAAACAAGAACATGCATATGGAAAATTTCTGGTGCACCAAAATGTTTGCAAATGCTGGATTCTGCAGCAACAAAAGAAAGGCAGGCGTACTCCTATGCACCAAACCAGGCAATCATTTAGTCCTAACAAAAGCCCAGCAAAGTTCTCTGTAGCAACGGAAGCTATTTCTCAAATTACAGGTTTTAGCTGGACCATTCAGTATAGTTGAAGCCGAAGATGACTGGATGGAGTAAGTTAATAGGATTACCATTTCAATACACAATAGTTTCCATACTCAAATAAGGTAAGGTGCTCATTGAACTCCATGCAATGCTTAATCAATGTGAAATCAATATCATCTGTCAACTTATTCATTAAGTGATGCTCCTGAGATGATACATAATTCACTTGTAAAAGCTTGTTGATGAGACATGGAAGATTCTAATAGGAAACACTTGGATTTCCAAGTGTTTCTTACCCAAAACCAAGACGAACCAATGCCAAACTGCTGTCCACAGCAGAAACCAGCCAGGAAACAGGGAAAAACAGGACAACCATCATATTCCAAGCGGATAAAAATTAGCTCCATAAAAAACCAGAAAACGATGAAAGAAACAACAACTTTCTTTTCAAACAGAACAGGAAAAAAATGGAGAAACATAAACACTCAAAACAACAGTTCTTGCACTCAACCATACAACATCTGATATAAGGTAACGGTTAAGAAAGTAATAACATATTTTTCATTAATGATAAAATAGCATAACCACAGTTTTTGAACAGAGAACAATATGGATGTTGAATCTGGTACAAAACATGTTGAACGTGTCCTATATGCACCTATGTTATCATATTTGGCTTATTTAATGACTAGAATAATAAATAACCGGTGTCTTAAAACAGAATTCACCGCCCTTAAGATTAAGGCATTCACCTATCTTCTTCCTTTGTGCGGCAGAAAGCCCTGATTGTAGCAATGCATCCAGCTGAGCCATCAATGTGGTTGAAACACTAAATTGTATGTAAAAAATAAAACAGGTAAGGTAAATCATCCATAAAGTACTTAAAAAAGTTGCACAAAAATTATGAAGATGTTCCAACGCTTTCTGGCAAAAACCGGCCATGAATCCAGTTTTTCAAGTGCAAGTAAAAACATCAAAGTTAGGAGCATAAACAGCAATTGATTCTGGTTGTCATGGGTACCTCATTTCATTCTCTGAGAGTTCTTTCGCATGAACATATAACGAGCGAAGCCTTTGTAAAATGGAATCCCCGGACTTCTCAATAATATCTGGAGCTGCATGTGCAGATGAAAGAATGAAGTTAGACTTGGAACTAAACATAAGAATAATAGGCATTGAAGCCCTTAAAATAATGCGTCTCGTAAGTGCAATTCTTTCTACCAAGTAGTATCATTGATCAGCTGTTAAATGATGAAAATTCTATTGACCCTGTATTGCTTTTGGCAAGTACAAACACTTCATTCATGTTTGCACTAATTGCTCTACCAAACTGTGAAGAAGCCTCTGGACTCGAGGGAAAATCTTGAAAGAAAGATTTAACTATATTCAAGATAAGGAAGAGCTAAAAAAAGTTAGATAATAACCTAACATATCTCAACAAGTAATGGTTTAATTATTGGTGAGCCATAGCTTATTTATTAGACTAATCGTTTATTTTAAGTATACAAAGACATGTTATTCAATAAGCAAGTCAAAGCTTTATTGGAATTCATTAAAAATTTCAATTTCGCGTATCCTTATAATAAAATATTCAAGTATCATTGATCAGCTGTTAAATGATGAAAATTCTATTGACCCTGTATTGATTTTGGCAAGTACAAACACTTCATTCGTGTTTGCACTAATTGCTCTACCAAACTGTGAAGAAGCCTCTGAACTCGAGGGAAAATCTTGAAAGAAAGATTTAACTATATTCAAGTTAAGGAAGAGCTAAAAAAAGTTAGATAATAACCTAAAATATCTCAACAAGTAATGGTTTAATTATTGGTGAGCCATAGCTTATTTATTTGACTAATCGTTTATTTTAAGCATACAAAATTCAATATGCAAGTCAAAGCTTTATTGGAATTCATTAAAAATTTCAAGTTAGCGTATCGTTATAATAAAATATTCAATGTTTAATTTTTTATCTTGTAAGCATCATTATCATACACCAAGTTTTCCATGTTTAAATTTTTAGTAAAATTTGGGTAAAACAGCTTTAAAATCATTTAGAATCTCTTTTAGTACTTTTAAAATTTTTAAAAAAATTTCCAAAGCCATTTCCTATGATAGGACAAGTTCAACCAACTTGTCATTTGAAATTGATCAACTGGCTTGATAAGAATCTAAAAGTTTCTTTGTATTAAATTGAGTAAAAATTTCTTGAAAAGCCCGTAGAATATTTTTTCATATGCTTTGGGAATTTTAGAAATTCTTTGAAGTCACTTCACTGTACATGTCACATCGAGTCGACGAGTTCAATAAAGTTGGCATACATTCTCTAAATGAACCCAACAAACATAAGAGGTTGGGCAGCCAAGTAAAACATACTTGGACAGCTATGTTCAGTCAACTTGAGAGTAGCTTGGGTAGAACCCAAAATTCCGCCTACTTATGAGACCAAGTTCAGTGAAGATGGCCGAAGTTAAGTTGATCAACATCCAAGAGCTCATCAAATTGGCCAATACTCAAAGAGCCCATCAAATTGGAATAAATTATGATTCTGTTTTGCCCAGGTTTTAGTTAAACTTGAAATAGCTTTTATTCAGTCTTCTCTAAATATGTTTTAGGGTTGGCAACTTATTGTATGTGTAGTGCTCCTCATTGCATATACCTTCTCTACTTAGTACAATTCATTTATTTTCTATGCATTTTAAACTCTCAATCAAAAGAAATTGATCACATTCTTTTTAATTTATTTCTTTTCTCCCTAAATTTTAACTCAGACTTGGGCTTCGTTTGGGACAACTTTCTTACTGCTTCTTAAAGCGGCTTCCTAGTACGAAAATTAAATTTTTTGTACTAGGAAGCCACTTTCAAAAGTGGAAAGAAAGCCGTCCCAAAAGCCTTAGAGTCTCAAGGTTGCTCGACTTCTTTTATGTGAAAGAAGTGGAGCATCTCAATTCTACATCAGATCTGAAACAAATGAGAGAGAATTCATGAATAAAAAAATCCTACTTCACATAAATTCCACAATTTTTCAGTGAAAGCGGCATCCTCGGTTCAGGTGATAGCTGAAATCAGTCAAAATCACTTCTTCAATCGACTTAAAATTCTCACTTGAGCCACCAACCAAACACCTTACGGTATCTCCATTTTTCAATTCTCACGTCAAAGCCTCACTCATATGACTAAAACTAATAAAACATAGTTCGTTTTCATGGGGTATGGGAGAGCGCTTCTAATCTACAACCAGGTAAAAGGACATAAAAATGATGCACGGAACACAGTCCAAAGAAAGCGTTATTATTATTATTATTATTTTTCCATTGCTCGTCTCCTACATCAACTTCAAAAAGTTATGAACAATAACTAAGGAAACACGCTTTCCTACCGTACACATTATAATTCAATGAAATTTGCAACATAAAGGACGGAATCAGCGAAAGCACAAAATAACAGGGAGTCAAGGATCCTCTGAAAAAATAATACCTAAATGGTACTTACAGGCTTGGAGTTTCTTGTGAAGTTTGTTGATCTCCAGTATATCTTCCTCCAGATCCTTCCTCAGCTGGTCAAGCTCCTTGGACTTCTCAAACAGCACGCTGATCTCCGTGCCCGACATTATTCTCTCCTCCAGGAGAAAGGTAATGCGGGAAAGAGATAGAAATTAACCAATCAAAGACGGCGAGAAGGACAAAACCCTAAAGCCTCCGATCAACTCGGAGAGAATATGAGGCAAGATCGACCTAGAACTCGAAGACAAGTCATCGCCGGAGAGGCGTCGAGGAAGAAGAAAGCAATGGAAATACGGTCTAAGCGTCCTCACGGGTCAAGACTCAATAGTATCATTTTTCCAACAAAAGGATCAAAGAAATAAACAAAAGAATCGAAACAGTGAGGCGTTGGGATATTTATTGGAGCAGCACTTTATTTACTTCTACTCATTTACAATAAGATGAATGTTCGTCAAATGATTAATATTGCATGCCAATCAAACTTATATAGGCAAATTTTATGAAATTACGGTATTGCCCTTTATCAGTTTTTTTTTTTTTTTTAATTGGTGATTTAAGTGCACATTTAATAAAACATTGGGCTTATAATATTTACACTTCATAACTTATCAAGTGATTAAGGCTTCGTTTGGGATAGTTTTCTTCATGCTTCTTAAAGTGGATTTTTACTAGAAAGCCGCTTTAAGAAGCAGTAAGAACGTCATCTCAAATGAAATCTAAGACCTCGTTTGAGAATTTATTCTTACTAATTTCTAAAATAACTTTTCAGTACAAAATTTTTTCGAATTAAAATTTTCAATACTAAAAACCTGTTTTAGAAAAGAGTAAGAAAACGATCCCAAATGAAGCTTTTCATTTGGGGCAGCTTTCTTACTGCTTCTTAAAGTAACTTTCTAGTACATAAATTTTAATTTTTTTATAAAAAAACTATTTTAAGAATCAATAAAAAATCCCTCCCAAACAAAAGCTAAAACTTTCAAACTTTTCTTAAAGCACTTAGCTTTAGACTTCTTATCTTTGCAAGAATTTGATGAGCTTGATATTCATTATTATATTCTTTTATTTTTTTTCAGTGATTAATAGCCAACAAATTATGCAAAATAGTTCAATTTATTATAATGCACGTTGGTTCCAACTTCCAAGGTAAACAAATAACCTGGGAAAATAAAACAAATATATTGGAAGAATTTTGGGGCTCAGCTGCTCAAGCATCATGATTTTTTATTTATTTATTATTATAAATGTCTTCCAGTGTTTAAATTGTAATAACATGATACCAACATGGAGAAAGGCCAGACGAGGTCATTGTCTTTGTAGCAATAGAAGACTCCTATGTTGTCTTGATTGGCTTGAAAATTAATTATAACGAAGTAAGATAGATTTCTTATAATTTTATTTTATCCTCCTTATCGTTTTGAATTGATTTGGTATTATTTGTAAAGGAAGACAAAGTAGTTTTAGGGTCAGCCCTTCAATTCTTGGATTTAGTTTCTGTTAGGGATAATTTTCTTACTGTTGTAAAACTATTATACTACAACAACAACAACATCAAGCATTTATCCCACTACGTGCACGTGAATCCTTTTTGTTGACTGTAACCGTTCATCCCCACCGACATACCCAAACGACACAGCCGCTCAGTTGCCGACTTATCCAGTACATTTCTATCACATAACAAGCCCGATACATTCCTCCACTTCAACCATCCAACTTGAATTTTGCTGATAATATTCCCATCTATTTCACCATCACTCTGAACAATAGATCCAAAATATCTAAAACGTGTATTCTTATTAATGACTTGATCGCCCAAAGTCACAATCCCCTCACTAGGTCTATTACTACTAAAATTACACTCTATATATTCCGTTTTAAATCTACTCAAGCGAAAAAAATTTAAAATGTTGTAAAAAATAGTTTTCTATACAATTTTTTAAAAAAAGTAACAAAAATATAATGGCTAAATAAAAATTATAATTAAGATACATTAGTAAAAAGCAAAACAAAAAAAATTATCTCGAACAAAATATTAGCAACAAAGAAAAATTATGGGAAGTTCGGGTCTTTGTTGTGCATAACATACAGTTAACATACATTCATTATGCACTGTTAATAGTTGTGCAAGCATGAGTGTATCATTTCTGTTCTAAACGAAGAGAATATTTTGTGCTCATTTCTTTGTTCTAGTTACTCAAAAATTTATGGAGAAAATAGCAGTAATACCTGAATACCCTTAAGAAAATGAATTCTCTTAATACACCCCAAATGGATTTATTCTGTGCAATCACCGAACCATCCAAAAATAAATCAGTGTATCACAACATCAAATACACAACAATACACAACACCAATAAAAAAAAATGACATGACACACTTTAATTTACCTTTGGACGCCAAAATGAATTAAAATACTTAATACAAATTGAATTAAAATAATTTTAAAATTAATTACAAGAAATTTCTATTATAGAATAATTTTAAAATAAATTTAATAATTTTTAAACCTATTCCATTTCAATTTATGAACGAATTCATATCATAATTATTTATCAAATTTTAAGTTAAATATTGACAATCTAATGCAAAAAAAGGTTAAATATTAATTTTTTTTCTAAATTAATGCAATATACACTCTTCATATATAACATTAATCTTAACCTGATAGAGATATTGTTCTATAACTTTTTTCTAAATACAAATAGCAATAAATAATCAGCATTATCAATCATAAATGTAATCAGATGCGTCTAACAGAGATTTACCACTCAGGTTTAGTTCAACAAAACACATTGTTTTTAAGTATTTATGGTCTACATGACTGCAGCAGTTGTGCTCAGATGTCCACAAAAGGGGCACAAAGTTGGAACATGGAAAGCAAATTGAGAGTTGTTTCAGAGAAGATAATAGAATTTAAGACGCATAATACGAATAATGATTATATCTCATGCAGTCCAGAAGCAAAATATTAGTAAAAAATATGTAGATCTCAAGCATTCAGTAGTCCAGAAGCAGAGGATCGGCGGCATTCAGACAACATGTCCAAGTAGAACTGGCACTTGCTGATATCGGTCCCATAGTTGTTGATGCACTGCACATCCAAAGAAACAAAAGGTGTTAAAATTCGAAAGAATGAGAAATTATTCTGTGCGGAGATTGGACGATGAGAAATGTCCGAATTTGCTGCCCTTTTGCTGCTCTTATGCAAATATTCAACAAATAGACAGCAAATATGCAATTTAAGAGTGCCCTTTTGCTGAGTATTTACAAAAGCGCAACAAAAGGACAACAAATATCCTTCTAATTGAATATTTGTTTTTTTTTTGCTGCGCTTTTATAAATATTCAGTAAAAAATACAGCAAATATGCAATTATGAATGCATATTTGCTACCTTTCGCTGAGTATTTGCAAAAGGGCAGCTAAAATACAGCAAATTCAAACGGTTCTTACCGTCCGGTCTCCACTTCTCGGAAAGGACAGTGAGAAACAAATAATTCATGTTTTGAAGCTATTTCAGGACTAGTTCATGGTTTCCTTTTTAAGTTGTCTATAAAAATTATTCAAGCACGTGTCAGAATAACTTTAGGCGTTCAAATGCTTTAGATTATGATGTCCTGCCCATTTGAGTCAGAGTTGAGTAACTTCACTAAGAGATTAAGGTATGCAATTCTGCTAATGAAATAAATGCTTGATTGCAGGATTAATTATTCTATGCGGACACCGGACCCCGTCTAGAGGCAAATCAGAGCACATCATATCACCTCTTTGTAGTGTACCATGGTTGTGTACCGAGTGACGTGACGCGCTCTGATTCGCCTCCGGACCCAGATACGTCCGGTGTCCGCACAAAATAATTTATCTGATTGCAGAGAATGAGTAAAGATCCATTTAAGGTTTGAAAATCAACACATGGAGATCAAGGATGGTATGCATAAACACAAAAAATGCAGAGACAAATTCATAGTCCAACTATTAATTTGAGCAAAATTAGACGTATTTGACAAACATTAGAAAATATGCAAACGTCGCCCCAGCGATTATTTAACAATTTGCCAAATTTAAATGTAGCTAAGAAATTCAAGGTCAATGCGTCAATGAAGAAGAAAGTTGGGTCAAAAAATGTGCCACAATTGGAAAATACAAATTGGGCAAAAAATATTTAGTAAACTAATCAGCAAAAGATGAGACCTAGGATTCCAATGGCTGCAAAAGAAGACGCAAAGAGATGGCTTTCTCTGAAATATGTCAATCAAGACCTTTGAAAGAGGTTTCATAACCTAAACCCTAATTTAAAAAAACCCAGAAAGCTTATAACACCCATAAAATGTACAAATACACTTCTAAACCTCATAATAATCATATTGTAATTGCCCAAAACAGCATCTTATCAAATTGCACGTAAATTGCATCTTCTGTGGTTTTGTTAATTAACACAATTATTATATCATATTTCTAGTGAACCTGATGCAACAAGGGTCCGATATTAATTAGATGAGGGATGCCTTGCAGTCTAATTTCCTAATGTAACTAAACGATTTCATGCATAAAATTCAAGCACTCGCTTTTTTATGCCACCAACAATATATGCAAAATTCACACAAACAATAATTTCATCAAAGTCAAATAGAAATTTAGCCAAAAAAAAAAACTTTAATCAATAAAAACCAAGTAGTTAAAAAATTTGATCAGAAATAAAAAAAAAAAACAAGAATGTAAGAGATTTGACCAAAATTATTCACATACAAACCAATAAACAACAACAACATCAAGCTTTTGTCCCACTACGTGAGGTCAGCTACATAAATCCTTTTTCTCCATTGTGTCCTGTTACAAGTCAAATTCTTGTTTAAATCTAATAAAGAAAAATCATTTATAATATTTTCTAAACAAGTCTTTTTAGGTCTACATCTACCTTTCTTAACATAAGGCAAATCTAATATCTCTACTTTCCTAACTGGGCCATCAGAAGTCCGTCGTTTCATGTGACCAAACCATCTAAGGCAGCTCTCTCTAATCTTATCTTCCACTGGCGCTACTATAACCTTTTCACGTATATGCTCATTTCATATCCTATCTCTAAGGGTAAAGCCACTCTCATCCACCTAAGCATCCTCATATCTGCAACACTTAACTTAGCATTATGCTTCTCTTTTCACGGCCAACATTTGGCACGATAAAGCATTGCAGTGCCAAATCACATACAAACCAGTAAAAGAATAATAGAAAACACAATGACAAGGGGGGAAAATTCACCAAAGAAATCCTAACCTCACGTAGTACAAGGAGATATCTTCCCCCTAAAGTTAGCATTCAACACTTGCACCACACTCAACAAATTTGCATTCAATAAGCACAAATTCTTAAGAAGAGAAAACAATTTTATTATGCAATTGATGTGCATTATAAATCACAAATCTTCTAAAAAAAATTGAACTAAGTTGGCAATAAAGGGCACCAATTGCTTGGGTAGTCAATGCAATTAGCGACTTAGTGCACGCCCTGGAATTGAAATAGTAATCAGGTACAAATTTTGCAAGTTTGAACAGTGCCCAGCCATAATTAGCAACTTCATCCAGTCGCCAACTTATAAAGGAGCTAATAAGCATGTGAGAGGAACTCTGTTATAATTAGCAACTTTGTGAAGGGGTAGATGCATGGGGGATTAGGACGAGTGAGTTCCACATCAAATACAGTAGCAGCAAGCATAAGTGGCTTAACAGTTCTGTAAAACCAATTAATAAAAAACAAAAAAATAACATGCTAATACAACACCTCAAGTAGTGTAGCAATGGTAGATTAGTAATAGAAAACTTGAAGAATACATTCTGAATGAAAATAATGTAACAAACAATTCAGAAATTTGAACATTTGGCAGTATCATAACATTGCAATATCAAATTCTCTATTGCATATTCCTTTTCCTTGTTTGTGTTGCTATTATACGGGTACATAATGGCTATAATTTGTTTAAGGCAACATCAAATAGAGTAGAACCAACCTGGAAGGAACCCGTTGTATTGTAACTGTAATAGCTACCAATATCTCTATTTAGCATGAATAGAGTTCAAATAGCAGATTCAAAAATAAAAGAAACTGCACCATTAGAATTGCATTGGCTCTATTCAAAGATAGGGATCCACAAAGTAATTAATAAGCACAACAGATCCAAGAAAAGAACGAGAGCTTACATCCTGGAAGGCCTTTGAATGAACACTGCAAGCATCAGCACCACTGATATTTGCCATTGGAACAGAAGCAGCTTCAGGAACTTGAGAAGCTAGAGTTTCATGCTGAATAGTTCGGGGCCCAAGAACAGCATCCACCGCCCGATGAGCAACGGCACTACCCGTGCCGAAAGCCATGCCTTAAAGGATATTTAGGACTTCAGATGATGTTGTACCAAAAAGCTTTAAAATATATTTTGGTAATGAAAATAACATATAATCAAATTAAGAAGCATCCAAAATGTGATTTGTATTTATGCCTGTCTCCTGGCCATACCTTGAGCAATTGTGGAGCCAATCCCTCCAAGCATGGATCCACCACCCTGGACATGAGCTGGAGGAGGAGCATGATTTACAGCTGCAGACAAAGCATATAGTTATCATAGAGAGAACTATGTCAGACATAAGCAGGGTTAAAGACTGGAGGATGCATCTAGTAATGTGAAAAAAAAAATCAAGACATCAACGAGGTCAATAATAATTTTTAAAGATAAATAAATTATTCACGGACACCAATTGTTTCATGCGAAAAATTTCTTCATAGTAGCCATAGGCTATTTATAGACCGCTTGTACTAACTCAACCACTCTAGACTTTTTTCAACATTCATGTTCCTCTGGCTAGCTCATATCTCAATATAGCTCTATCTTCCAAAATAACAGTTATAATCGATTATCTGTCTATCAATATACATAAACGTAAATCTAAAACAATGACATAAATTTTCTTGATTTTCAATCTCCCCCTTGTGAAATTCTATTCACATTTTAAGCTAGCGCTTGTTTTTCTAGGTTTAACAAAGCATTTCATTTACCACGACCAAATCCAATGAGGCTTTTTCATGGGAAATCAGGTCTGCTATAAAGCTACATAAGTTATAGATGAGATGGGAAATTTTAAGTTTTAGCTGGTAATGGCTTATTCTTTTCAGCGTCTGCTTTTAAAAGCTAATTTCTAAACCACAATTTCATTTATGATTTCTCAGAAGTAACTTTTATAAAAACAATTTTGAAGAAGTTATGAAGATTTTGAAAAAGCTATGAAAAAAATATCAACCAATTGACACTGCTTTCAATTGGGTAAATCCTCAAAATTATTTGACATTATAGAGATTAAATTTATTTAAATCCAATGAAATCACCAAATAAATAATTTATCAATTCATCAAAATTAAATAAATTTAATCTCTATAATGTCAAATAATTTAGAGGATTTACAAAATTTATTAAATTCAAAGTGAAATTCTACTTGTTACCAAACACCCCAAATGTTTTAAATGAAATCACCAAAAACATTTATTGGACTCTTTGTGCTGCTCACTATTTGAATTTAATAATGGAGAACATTTTCAAAGTCCAAAAGCTCAGGCGATGCTTTGAAAAAGAGATGGTAGCACACATTGTTATATATACTCCAGGCCTCGCTTACTTGATTTAATGGGAATGTGCACAAATCAAAGAGCACTTGTCAAACCCGCCAAGACTCATTTCACAATAGCTTTCTTGACGTTACAACGTTTTCATCAACAACAACTGAACTTGAAGAAAATGTTTACTTGTGAATAGTTTATTTTGGATCCTTATACGAAAGCAACTAAAGCAAAACAATCTCAACAAACAATCTTGCATCAATCATTTTGGAATACTATTGTACCTTAAAAATAATTGGGGCTTTATTGAAGGTTCTTAGATTGATTGATGGAGAGAAAAAGCCCTCAATGGCTTACATATATGAAACAATGGATAAAGCAAGAGGCAATTGCTGCAAGTTTTAGTAACATTGATAAATATGATCATATTTTCAAAATTATTGATAGAAGATGGGAAGTACAACTACACTGACCTCTACATGTAGCGGCACATTTTTTAAATCTTGAATATTTCTTCCATAATCTTGATATTGTTAAGGATAAGAAAGTAGTTGATGGTCTTTATTCATGTATTGGAAGATTATTTAAAGATGAAGATGAAGAAGATAAAAACAGTAATGAATTAAGTTTATCCATTAGAGGTGAAGAACTACTTGGTATTTCTCCCACTATAAAACAAAGGACTACCCAATTTCCAATTATCATTACAACAATAACATCAAGCCTTATCCCACTACGTGGGGTCGTCTCCATGAATCCTTTTTCTCCATTGTGTTCCAATTATCATTATTTGCATAAAATGACAATTGATTAGCAAGTTTATAAAAAAAAAAATATTTCATTTCCTCCTGCTGATTGGTGGTTGGCATATGGCCAGGAGCTCCCAATTTAAAAGTCTTGCTATTAAAGTCCTCAATCTAAGATGTAATTTATCCGGCTACGAACGCAATTGAAGTATTTGTGAACATGCAAGTATTTCTACAGAAAATGTGATGTTTTTTTATGTATGTTCATAGTATAGTAATGTAATAATTTTCCAATTACAACTTCATAAAAAACGAAGAAGAAAATTGGATCATTGCCACTTAAAAGATTTAGTTTATGTAAAATACAATAGAGCATTGATTTAGAGATACAATCATCATGATGTGATTGATCATATTTCTTTGACTGAGATGGCGGATGCAAATGAGTGGTTAACAGTAAAATTAGATTATGAGCCTGATGAAAAAAATGACTTTATTGTTGGAGAGAGATTTAACTTGGACAAGTGTTGCTAAGACTACTAATGTTTATGATTAAAGCTATAATATCTAGGAGAGATCTAAAGGCAACGAAAAAGAACATTCACCTAAGCATCATGACATTGTTGCTATTGAGAATGAGGATGAGGTTGATGAAGAAGAGTATGAAATAGGAGATAATGTTGATGAAGATAACAAAGCTTTGTTAAAATTTGTTGATAATGATGATTCACAAGAAGAGTAAATTAAATTCTTATTAAATCATTATCTTCTAAAAAATAAGATTGTAATATTTTTAATTATGAGATATTTCAGGTGTTGTTTACTAAAACTTATGCATAATTGCATGACTATGATTGTCTTTATGTCTTTCATTATTATGATAGCTTGTATTTCAGTTTAATGACATACCACATTCATGCTTATTTGTTATAATTATCGTACAATTTGCATTATGTTCAAAATGGCATGTGTCGGCGTGTCGCGCCGTGCGCTATGCACCGCGGTGCGTAATTCGTCGTTAACAAGTATGATTCTATCACACAATAATCCCTGAAGAAGAGTATGAAATAGGAGATAATGCTGATGAAGATAACAAAACTTTTTTGAAATTTGTTGATAATGATGATTCACAAGAAAGTAAATTAAATTCTTATTAAATCATTATCTTCTAAAAAATAAGATTGTAATATTTTTAATTATGAGATATTTAAGGTGTTATTTACTTAAACTTATGCATAATTGCATGACTATGATTGTCTTTATGTCTTTCATTATTATGATAGCTTATATTTTAGTTTAATGATATACCACATTCATGCTTATTTGTTATAATTATCGTATAGTTTGCTTTATATTCAAAATGGCGTGTGTCGCGCCGTGCGCTATGCACCGCGGTGCGTAATTCGTCGTTAACAAGTATGATTCTATCACACAACAATCCCAATGCATTCCTCTACTTCAACCATCTAACTTGAATTCTGCCAATAATACCCCCATCTATTTCACCATCACTCTGAACAATAGACCCAACATATCTAAAATGTGTACTCTTATTAATGAATTGATCACCCAAAGCTACACTACCCCCACTAGATCTATTACTACTAAAATTATACTCAATATATTCAGTTTTAGATCTACTTAAGCGAAAGCTTTTAAACTCTAAGTTTGACCTCCATAATTCAAGTTTACCTTCAACTCCTTCTCTAGTCTTATCCACAAGAAGAATATATCAGCAAAAAGCATACATATAGGTACAACCTCTTGCAAATGTCTAGTGAGAACATCCATTGATTAAGCAAAAAGATAGTGGCTTAAGGATGATCCTTGATGTAATCTAACATAAATAGAAAAATACTTGGTAAAACCAACTTGTGTTTGAACAAAACTGGCAGCTCCTACATACATATCCCTAATGACTTGAATATAAGCATTATTAACCCCCTTCTTTTCTAGAACTCTCCATAGCACTTATCTTGGAACTTTATCATATGCTTTCTCTAAATCAATAAAAAACAAATGAAGACCTACCTTATTCTCTCTATACTACTCCATAAAACCTCTCAATAAATGTATAGCTTCCATAGTAAACCTACCCGGCATAAATCCAAATTGATTTTGAGATACATTAGTTTCACGCCGTAACCTATGCTCCATAACTCTTTCTCATGGTTTTAAAGTATGACACATTGACTTAATTCCTCTATAATTTACACAATCTTGTGCATCACCTTTATTCTTAAAAATAGGAATTAACATGCTCATTCTTCACTCATCTGGCATCTTTTTAGACTTCAAAATAATATTAAAAAGTTTAGTAAGCCAATAAATTCCTTCATATCCTAAATATTTACACACCTTTATTGGAATATCATCAGGACCAACAGCTTTTCCACACTTCATTTTCTTTAAAACCTCTCTAACTTTGATTTTAAAAATACGCCGATAAAAAGAAAATCTTTATTTTCATTTAGGATGCTAAGGTCGTATTCTTATAATCTTCACTAAAAACATTAGTAAAATGTCTCATCCACCATTGTTGAATATCCTCTTCTAATAAAGCACTTTTTGATCTTCATCCTTAATACATTTCACTTGAACTAAATCTTTACTACCATCTTTTTGTTTGGCTAACTTATGCATATATCTTTTGCCCTCCTCAGTATCTAATTTATTTTATAAATTATTAAAAGCAAAAATCTTTGCATCGCAAATTGCTTTCTTAGACTCCTTACGGATCTAATACATTTTTACAAGAAGAAAATTTTCAAAATCAATATTAAAAATTATCGATCAATTACATTGTTAATTAACTTTATGTTCAATATATATATATATATATACTAAAGATGAATTTGTCTAAAACAATGTTATTCAATATAGTAATGTTTATAAGATCAATATTTTTTTTCACCACTGTATGCTACTCAAAATATCAAACTCATTGATCTTATATATGTTAATATATTTCCTATGCTTTAAGTGCATGAGTATATATATATATATATTAAATATATATATATAGTGTTAAATGTGTGTGTGTGTGTCGCATTTTAGTCTTTCAAAAATCATATATTTTAGGTAAATTAATGAAAATTGAAACTTTGCAATTAGAGTTCTCTTTAAAAAGAGACGAATAGGAACAAATTATTTTCATGATGTTTCTCAAAAGAATAATGTGTCAAATTAATTACAAGTGAAAGAACTGCATTGACATGTAGCTTATTAAAATTAATCTTATATATTAAGCTTTTTTTACAAATTAATTCTCTATTAATTATCTTGGAATTAATATTTTTAAATTTCATCTTTAAACATTTTACTTAATTTTTTATTTTATCTTATTTATGATAAATTAAATTGGTTTAGTTGTTAATAATGAAAGCAAGTATTTGCTATCACATATATAAAATATTTGGAAAACAAAAAAAAAGCAATTCTCTAATGAACAACATGTTTGAAAATACCAAAAAAAACCTCGTTTAAACTTTAAAGTTCAAACTGGTTTTAAATTAATACTTAAAAAAATATTACAAGCTCATTTCTTACAATATATATGATAATTAACAAACTATTTATAATCTATTAAACTTTATCATTCACCATCCATCATCATAATTACTTCCAAAATTCATAGCATTTAATATAAAAAAAATAAAAATAGTTACTTCAATTAAACTAAGTACATTTGAAATAAAGGAGTTTGGGCAAGACTCAGAAGTTATTAAAATTTAGCTTTGCTTAGTAGTAGCGGAAACCTTGTAGCTAAATTAAACAATAGACATAATGATGTTAATTCCACCTTTGCAGCTAAATTAGCATAGTTCATAGGATCTGAATTAGTGCATATTTTAAAAAGATTTGAATAGTGCAAATCAGATCCTACCAGATCTAGTTGCAAATGCACATTAATAAATTAACATAGCTGATATTGCATATTTTATTAAATTAACATAAATTAGTACATGCATGGTTGTTTGTCACATCTTTCTGTTAATTTTAACCAAATATGAACATCAATTAAACAAAAGAAAGCGTGAAACCATAACATGCCACTCTCAAATCACTCAAAAAAGCTACAAATTTCTGATATGATATATTTGAGAATTGAGATAGATGCAAATCAGTTCATGCACGCTTAGGCAAAGCTCAGCACATTAGTTTATTGTTGAAAATTGAAAGCATCAAGGTGGAAGCTCCCTATACAAGTAAGGCTAATTGCATCATGCAACCATGTTCATCCGAAAATGCATACAACTTTTATCCTACATGAGTTTATGATTGTGTGCTGACATTAGCCTCATCAAAATCTAAGAGTACAGTAAAAGGTAATTCATGTAAATGTTAGCCTAGAAGTAAGAAAATTATTCCTGCAATGACAGTAAATTAAGCATCCACGCTGCTGAATGATGAGAAATGAGAGAAGATACCTGGTTGAGGGGGATTCCTCACAGGAGTAGGCCGTGGAGCAGGCCGTGGAGCAGCCCGAGGAGCAGGTCTTCCTACATGGTGATTTCAAAAGTTATTTCTTTGAGAAAAACAAAATGTGCTAAACAAAAGTAGCCAAATACACATGAATATATTTGCGCTTGGAGAAAATATATTGTAAAAGAAAATGTTCAAAATAATTCCTAGACTTTTTGTGATGGTTCATTTTAATCCCAGACATACACATGGTAGCCAAACTTCTCGAAAATCTTTCTATCCCTTATATCTTTCCTTTGTTATTTTACAAACCATTTGTCTTTCCTTGGTACTTAACATAATATATAAATTATAAAAATTTAGTTGATTAACTTATTTGTAAAACTTATAGCTTCTATATCATCAAATTGTCTTAGTAATATTAATTGTTTGCCACACCACAAAAGTACATTTCTATTCATGGATAACATTTTTAATCTTCTGATTGCAAAATTCTAACAAGGTGTCAAATGCTAGCAGGGAAAAAATAGGAAGAATGTTACTTTTCATCGCTTCTTTTTATTTATTTGATAGTGCACATGTGCATGTGCATGTGTTATGATTTTTGAACAAAACAAATGCTTTGGTAATAAGCACTATTCATTGCCACCTAAAGATTCAAAGAGACAGGAGACATGCAGGATACAGGATAAGAAGTAGAAGATTCACAAAATCTAAAATTCAACTAGAAAAGTTCAATTGGGGAATATCATCCCAAAATAATAAATGATTACAATAAAAATGATAATCCATAAATCAAATTTTCAAAACAAGTTAAAATGAAACCCTAAAGATATTAAATGAATCATCAAACATTAGCATTTCATCAAATTTCCACCTAGATTTATGCCCTGAAGTCAAGCCAAGCTTTAAATCTTAAGCCAAATCCAATGAAAAAAAGAAAACTTCAATGTCAAATAAGAATATAGAGAGAATCCAAATTGAAAAAAAAAAAGTTCCAAATGCAGCCTTGCAAAATGCGTTGTCCTTGAATGTTGTCATGTGCAAGAAATATGTCACTTAGTTACCACTAATCAAGGTAGCGGGGTAAACTCCCCCATCCAATTATCCATGGCAATTAAGATCTGACATGTTCTCCATAATCCTTTCGGGCATCCCTAGCAAGTGGATCTTCCAGTGCTTAAAACAACTTATTATGTTTCACACAATTATTTGGGTGGGGGTTTGCAAACCAATTTGCAACCTTATTACTAAGATATTAAATAAGATTGAATGAATATTACCAAACACAGTCCAGTGTTTTCATAATTTTCAAAGCTCATGACATTTCTAATAAGATCCAGCAAATTCTTCAATATAGTCAAGGAAACCAGAGATAAAAATGTGAATGAAGAGAGAGTTAGTACAAATCAAAGCTGAGAAACAAACGGGTATAGAATGACAAAGGAAATTTCTGATCTGAAAACAAAAACGTAAAATAACTAAGAATACCCAAAACGGCATGGAACCATAAAAAATATCTCCAGAATATAATAAACATTCACCTGAACCAGTGATAAAATGCACATGCGATCTAAGCGAACAAAGAACTACAAAAAAAGCCATCTAGTATAAATCACCAAGAATTTTTTACAGATAAATACTGTTGTCTAAACCTCGTCCATAGCATTCACCTGGAAACAACTACAAATTTCCAAAAGGATGATTCCTAACCAAAAGGAGTCGTCTAAAACATCTCCAAGTAAGAAATTACTTCAGCCAGGCTAACCAATTAAAACCGAAGAGCAAACTACAATAACAATAAAATTTTCACAAATAAGCAAAAATCCTAAAAGAAATCTACCCATTAGGTCTCTTCGATATCATTAAGCAAGGGCAGCATAACAAATTCCAAGGGAACCATCTGTAAACAGAACTGAAGCATTCCTAACACAATACTAAGCAATCGGCTCAACCAGAACAATAAAAGCCATCTAGATAAAATCAATATCATTAACCTAGGGCACATCTGAAACTATTGAGAGAAAGAAATGGCACCTCCAGAGCTACGGCGAGGCATGGCTTCAAGAAGGTAACGAATCGAGAACTGCGAGACCAACCAAAGAAACCCTAGCGGCAATTGGGATTGTGGGTCGAATAAGCTACCAAAAATGCCTACTTATCCAAGAAGTAAGCGAGTTTCCTCTCTTGACCTTGAATAAACCCGAATATTCCAAGAAAGTTCTAATTGCCGAGTTAGAGGGCCGTTGAAAAGGTTGGGCTTATTTTGGGCCGAAGCAATGCTGCTTTTTTTTTTCTTTTTTTTTACATTTAAGTTAATTAAGAAAATTCATACGCACATCACATAAAAAAAATTCGAACCCAATATCTCTTAGTAGGTAGCCTAAGCTCTCAACCAACATGCCAAGATGAGCTATGTGACGCAATATTTTAATTAAGTCACATTATTTTACATATATATTTTAGGGATTTACATAAATATCACTCAAAATTATCTCACATATAAACTTCACATAACAATCAATATTTTAAATAATATTAAAAATAATACCCTCATTATCTTATTGGTCATACTCTTGTCATCGCCGCACACACAATGGATCTCTTCGTGACCCTTTTTCGGTGGGATGTTGTCTCATTTCTACTTATCCATCGTCAACACGCTCATCACAACCTTACCAACAAAATATTGTCACAACTTCCTAGCTCTTATACTAGCACATTCATGATGTCTCTTCTTGGCAAGATGCTGTAACAATTTCTTCATCATTCTTCAAAGCACTTGTGATGACTCTTTTGGCGAAATCCCATTGCGGCTTTCTTGCCCTTAACTAAAGCCCATATTGTAACTTTCTCATAGCCATCAAAGATTTTCTCATTGTGTTACATTCAAAGCCCTAAATGGGATTCTGGTTGGGTACTCATGCTTTACTTGGACGGGCTTCACCCACCCACGCCCACCCACGGTAACTTTCGGGATGTCATACCCATCTATACCCACCAACTTTTCATGCTTTTTTGAACGCAGTCTGCCACGGACTGATGACCTTGAGGCTTGTTACACTTTGCTATGATTGCAAATTTTTCATGTCACATATCAGAATTAATCATAATCGCAGCGTGGTTAAGTGTTGCACACTACGTTGTGAGGATAGCAGCAATATAAGATATATGGTGATTAGCAATATAAATTAATTTATCATCCGATGTTGAGTACCCACCCATATCCACCCACAAGGCCATGGGCATACTCATACCCACCCATATCAATTGGGTATGGGTGGGTGTGGGTACCCAATGCAGGGCTATGGTTACATTATGTAAATAACGTAATTTAAATGTTTAATATGTAAATGTAATAATTTTGAATGTAAATCAATCTTTAATTTATGATTTTATGATAAACTATGTTTTACAAAACCAATTAAGACTTTGTTTGGGATGGCTTTCTTACTGCATCTTAAAGCATTTTTCTTGCACACAAAAAATTAATTTTTTTGCTAGCAATCTACTTTAAGAAACATTTAAAAAGTTGTCCCAAACAAAATATAAATTAATAAAAATCTAAAAGATTTCATTAATATTCAACTAGAAAATTGGAATGTAAATCAAATAATGACTTGTATTTATAGAATAAAATTAAACATACCTCAATCTCATCAATATACTTAGGAGCAATTAAAGTGTTGAGAAGAAATATTATTTCATCTTTGATTGATAATTACTTCAGTAATTAATGAAATTATTTCTCAATAAACTCCCTTAAATATCAAATAGATGAAACAATAAATGTCATGCATTTTTCTATTCAACTTGTTCATCAACATGCATTGTTTTAATTGTTGGTGGGTATTATAAATGTAAACATTCAGCTAAATAACCCCCTTTTAACCATACAATACTCATATTCAAATACCTTATACTCGAAGGTTTTATTTTGGACGATTTCCTTAGTGCTTCTTAAAATAACTTTTTAGTATAAAAATTAAAAATTTTGCACTAAAAGCTCCTTTAAGAAGCAGTAAGAAATCCGTCCCAAATAAAACCTAAATCTATTATTTTATAAACAAAATGCAAAAAATACCAGTATGGCAGTATCCATCCACATGCAAGATCATGACCAACTTGGAAGCTAATTTATGAATGTCTTTCCAGTTTGACAGTAATACAGAGCTTCTTCATCACTTACCTCAATAGCAATAATAAATTGCTGAATGTTTGAGAGATAATTTTTTTTTCATAAATATTACCGTGGCGCTCTTGATTAATTATTCTGTGCGGATGCCGAACGTCATCCGGAGACCAATCAGAATGCATCATGTCACCCCTGCGCTCGGTACCGCGGCTTGGTATTGCTCAGTACCGATGACGTGACACATTCTAATTGGTCTCCGGACGACGTTCGGCGTCTGGTCTCCGCATAGAATAATTTCCCGGTGTTCTTAGGATCTTTTGGCAAAGTTCTTTTAATTGTTTTTTAAAAGAACTTTTGGTACAGAAAAAAGCTTTAAAATAATAAAAAAGTTGTGGTTAAAAGTTTTCTTATTGTTTTTTGAAATAGTTTTTTAGTACATTTTCTTTAGAATTGTCGAGCCAATTAATACAAACTCACACATACAACACATACACAAGCTTCAAATCGTAGCTAAAACTCCCAACCAATAGATCAAGATGATCTATCTCAGTAAAAAACTTCTTTCAAACGAAAAAAAATACTCAAAAGTTGTCCCAAGAACAATCTTAATTGACACTCAATTTATCTAACCAAACCCATATAGCATCATTCCCTAAATTTCAGTCAAAAAAAAAAAAAACTAACGACCCACCGAGGCTTAGGTTGGTTGGTGGGCGAGTACGGTTGGGAACCCCCATCTCGGGTTCGAATCCCCTCTACTATGACCTCGCCTCTTCAATGGGGCAAAACAAGTTTGGGTCCGATATCGGTGGATGACCTCTCTAAGTTCCACCGAGAAATTAATTACGAAGTACAGAGCCGCGGCGGCATTCAGTCAACACATCCAAATATAAATGACACTTTGTGATGTCACTCCCCTAATGGTTGATACACTCTATCACCAAGAGAAATGAATGAATTGAAAGTGTATGAGATTAGGATACAAATCAATTCAAAGCTTTTATGTATCTTCCATCATTAATTACCAGCTAATTTAAACATTTCCTTGGAACAACAATCGGCTAAGTACAGACAGCTCTATGGTTACAGGGGCGGAACCAGCCCTAATTTTTAGGGGGGACAAACTTATAAGACATATGTCGGGGGTCCAAGGGGGCAGTGTCCCCTATCAGGGTTCGACCTGTTGGGGGCAATTACCTAAAGACCATAGTATTTTAAAATTTTTAAGGGGGGCAATTGCCTAAAAATTCTTGTAATAAATAAAAAAAATGAATAAAAAGGGGTAAATTACCTAAAAAACCATATAAAAAATTTTTAAAAGTTTTTTAGGGGGGGGGGGCAATTGCCCCCCCTACACCCATTGGGTTCTGCCCCTGTATGGTTATGTGTTGGAAACTAAGGTTTCGTTTGGGAAGTTTTTTTTTATTGCTTAATAATACAACTTTTTAATAAAAAAAATTAATGTTTTTTAAAAAGTAATAAAAAATCGTCCCAAACGAAGCCTAAGTATAACACTTGAATGCCAATACTTAAGGTTATAATTTTTTTAAAGTATTTTTTTAATAATTAGATCAATTAAGACAAATTGAATACAAATTAAAATTCAAAAAATTTTAATTGATACTCAAAATTTTAATTAACACATTACGATGAGCTGTGTTTCTTAAGAAAATTTGATAAGACTCCGTGGTTGTTCTCACTTCACATCATTTTGATGTAACTACTATAGTTTTAAATTTTATTTATAAATTAAGAAACGGAGATGCTTGTAAGAGACATCTAGGCACTTGTCGGATTTCCCTTCGTATCTAGTAGCTTTGAACACTTGTGAGGAACCAACCACATGGGCAAAATTAATGGACCAATAGAACATAGTGGTTCGGAGATCAATCAGAAGGTATTACATCATTTTTCTTTCGATATCGGTGCTCGATAATACTATGTATTAGATTGATCTCCGGACCGTCCAGTATCCTCTCAAAATAATTTCTAGATAGAATACATAAAATTAATGGAAGTAAAAGGAGACCTTCTTAATTATAATTTAAAAAAAAGCATATACTATATACTAGGGGTGTCAATTTTTGGCACGACCCTGAAAAATCCGGGTTCGGGTCAACCTGAATCCGAAACGGGTCGGGTTCAACAAGTTAACCCGTTTTAAAAATCGGGTTGACCAAGAAATCCGAAATTGACTCGAAAATGATACGAAAACTCATTTTGACCCGAAAACCCGAGATTTACCTGTTTTTTACCCGTTTTGACCCGAAAATCCGAGATTGACCCGATTTTTGACTAAAAACTAGCAATTTTGGGTCAACCTCGGGTCCTTCGTGTTGTGTCGGGTTGACCCGGACCCGAATCGGGTCATATTAAGGTCTAGAAACCTGACCCGTTTTTAAAAATGGGTCGGGTTCGGGTTCGGGTTGACCCGAATAGTGCCGGGTTAGTTCCGGGTCCGATCCGAACCCGACCCCTTGACCCGAATTGACACCCCTTGTCATATACACGGAAATTATATATTTTTAGAAAACATAAAATTATTTTTCGAATACAGAAACCTGACCCGTTTTTAAAAATGGGTCGGGTTCGGGTTCGGGTTGACCCGAATAGTGCCGGGTTAGTTCCGGATCCGACCCGAACTCAATCCGTTGACCCGAATTGACACCCCTTGTCATATACACGGAAATTATATATTTTTAGAAAACATAAAATTATTTTTCGAATACTACAAAAGTGTGAATTTATTTTTAGAAGTCAAACGAAAACAAATACATTTCAACTTAATCAAATAGTTTGCACGTCTTCCCACCTGTAGTCCCTCCTACTCTCATAATCGCACAGTGTCGCTCGGTCCCGCTGGCTCCACGTTCGGTCCTACCTGCGCAGTTCTGCTTGTCTGTGCTTCGTTTTTCTTCCTTGTATAGTTCCGCCCCATGGCCTCATGTTTGATGAAATTATTATACGCGGATACGGACCCGTTCAATAGGAAAAATTATTAGGTGCGGAGTGCAGACGGGGTGAGAACCGTCTGCACATACACAGAGTACCGAGCGGT